TTCATTTCGTTCCATCCTATCGGACAGCCACGAATCCGCCCTCGCGATGCGCTATCCGCCCTACATGCCCGAGTCGCTCGAGTTCATGTCGGCGCCACTCAAGGTTGATATTCCGCGCGACTAAGTCGTCTTCTGGATTATGGCGGCTTTGGTGTTTCGGGAGGAGGGGCCAGGCAAGGCATTGAACTGAGAAAACTGACAGATGCCAACAGAGTGATCACGGAAAACCAGCTCCGCAGGGCGGCAGAGGGCCAATATGCAAATGCCAAGAGACCCTCCAGGAGCTGTGCGCTTCACAGTTTTCACGGGCCAGGAACCGAGGCAGAGAGTGTCTCATGCTTAGAATAGAATGACCTTGCCACTTAAATACCATTGGAGGTGGGGCTGACGTGCCCCCTCCTCTGCCTGCGAGCTGGGCGCTAACAGCTTGCGTGAATACCTTCTCAAACGCACATAACACATCTATCGAAGGAGGTCTCTGGACGTTTACCCAATACAACTTGAACGCGATTGATATTACGCAGGTCGGACACGCACTTCCTCTTCATCAGAGCATGGCCTGACCGCATTCTCTTTCCCTGACGTAGATTGTAGCCCCCGCAAGTGGATAAAGCCCCGTTGGCTTCCCATCACGTTCATCCCTCCTCTTCCCCCTCCCGCCGGTTCGCAGCAAAATACACAGACAACAAGGATGAGCGCATTTCAAAACGCAGAAAACACCACCATCACTGGCGAGAGTGTGAACCTGATCACGGTCAACAACTATGTCTACAACATCACAGAGGTGAGCGGCGCGATCGTTCACTGCTGCTCTGAGTAACCATTCGCGGTTCTGACTAACCGTTTTCATGCGCATACACAGTTGACTGTTACTCCGGCCGATGATCCCGGAGTTGGGTGGTGGACTTCATTTGCTGGGTGGTTCGCGCATGTCGGGTACACTCTGGGAGATGTTCTCAGGCGAGTTTGGAAGGGTCGGGGTGAGCGTCAAAATTGTCCTGGTAGGGAACACGCACTTATATTAGTCGCAAAGGCTCGTAGAGACTTCAATGCACAGCTATCACTTGGAGAAGCTCGAACGCTAGCCGAACGGGTCGTATATGAAATCTATTTTGATTGTCGTTATTCCGCCATTGAGAAATGTAGGAGGGGTCTGGTCTTAGCATGTCGTGTCGTTGTAGCTTGCGGTGATTCAATTCATTTATTTTGACGGGTGGTCGGAGAGCAGGCCTTGTAATTCGGCAGTCAAGATACGATCCTAGGACGAGCTGGGAAATTACATGAGCGTCGGCACGGGAAAGATGAAAACAGATTTATGATAAAATTGAAAAGCGCCAGGCGTCACGTTTAGTACGAACCGAAAATCCGTAGAGGAGCCCCCTCGGAACGACAGAACAACAACAAAGGGACTCAAGAAATATAAAGCTGAAACTGGAGCTCAGGATCTGTTGGGGTGATTCCCAATTTCGCGTCGGTGGCAAATCGATGAGAGATAGAAATTAGGAACATGCAGTCAGAAGGAAAAATGTTGCAACGCGCTTCAAACAGCATAACCGGAATAAATTGTCGATATTAAATTGCTGACAGTATGTGCTAGCGTTCGAGTCTGGAAAATATATTTATTCGAACCCCTCTGGGATCGCATATACAGGCAACCAACAAGCCGAGGAGGATGACAAGGAAAGAAATCAAAAGGGTCATTCGCCAGTGCGCGAAAATAGCTCAAGAGAATTAATATTGAAGACGAACATAGGAAAAGCGAAGTCGAGAGCCGACGGAAGTGATAGCAGAAGCAGCCGCTCACAAACAGCGCAAACAGCGCCAAAAGCATGATATCTGGCCGATATTTTAGAACTTCACGGACGATAGTAGCACTGACAGATACGAGAAAGACGAAGGATAAGGGCCTCGTTGGAGATAATCCTTGAGCAGACTGGAGCGACTGATGGTCCTCAAAGTCAGAGGCTCGATGAGGCAGAACGGCGTGGAGATAACATCACATATATGAGAGGGAGGGGAGGTGTACCGCCCTGCAGAAAATAATCACTCGGATGGTGCAGATCAAGGCTCATACCACCCCGAGCAATGAAGGAAATGGGAGGCTCAAGAGACACGCGCTGCGCGTGACGAAAAGGAGAATGAGAGCCACGGGAAATCCGATAACGCACCGTAAATGAGCAAAAATCGCCTCTAGCTATACGGAAACTCGCGAAGTGGTCTGTGGAAGATCAGAGGTGGTGGTGTCGCCTCCGCTACTCCTGCCTTCCGAGTCCCAGACCCTCGGAGTGGCTTAGAAGGATACTGCACGATAATATTCCAGAGGTAGTATCGTTTAGACATCGTAATGAAAGAGACGCACCTCAGGCCATAACCCCAGAGAATCAGCGCTTCAGCGGCGTAGTCACCCAAGTTCCAGCAATCGTCGTTCTTCAGAGAAAAGTGTCTCGAATGCAACGAGGGGGAGAGAATCCCATCGTGATTTTTACTGAAAAAACCCCGATGTGTGAGGAGGAGCGTAGGGTAACGGTGGTGGTTGAATCTAAGTAGGAGACGTTCCGTTCACGAGCTCGAACCATGCGTGAGAGTGCCATGGCCTGTGCGTGTGATGCTCAAGCCGAACTTCGGCAACCACCGGGTGAGAGATACCACTACCCTTTCGTTCCTTACCACGACCACCTCCAGCACTGTAACTCCGTCTCTGGCTCAATCTAAGGCATATTAATTCACCTATTCTATGATCTCCTCGCCATTTACTCCGCCTCCTTGTCCATCGAACCGAAGTCCACCTCATCGCACGATTCGCACCTCAAATCGATGCCCCGCAGCCTCGAAGTATGCCTCTAAAGTCCTTTTTCTATCTCTGAACGAGGCACTGCAGATGTCTCGTTCTCAAGATGCTCGCTTTACCGGCGCTCCAGGATGCTCTGCCAAGTGTTTATTCTCTGATCTCCGGCTCGGTTAGAGTGAAGGCCTTACTTTCTACGTCGTCCAGTGTGCGGTCGACAGCAATGAAGGCTGCTCACTTGTTATCTGAGTCCATCTTCGGTCATATTCCATCACCGTCCCCTCATGTGATGCTGTTGACGATAATATATCTTTAGGCTCCACTGGTGGTTCTGATGCCTGGTTTCGCTTCTCCTCAGTCTCATTCGTCCCATAACCCTCTCAAACTTCCATGGATCCGAGGTTATTTATCTCGTTCACTCCAAATGTTGAGCAAGGCAAAGTTCTATTGGTTAGACCTCTTACGAGCCATTTTCCTCGACGAACACGAAGATACTTTGGTGATTCTTTCCCTATTTTTTAACTCGCCGTGATCCTCTTGTGCTGTCAGCAAAACTCTGCGCTGTTGTCTCTGCTATTGCCTCCTAGCACGAGTTTCGCTGTTTCTGGACTATCGTCGACATTGTATTGTCGTTTCCTTACATTTTCGCTGGAAACGTCTCTTCCATCGAGCAATGGTGTAAGGGTTCTTCATCGATTCATCATCCGTCCATGTCGGTATTGGCGTTCATATGCTTCCTGGCTTGGGCAGGGTGGTGAGAGAAGTCCTTCCGAATCGAGGAGGGGACCGTGCACATGACTTAGAACTTTCTAGCCGGCCACCAATCAGGTTCCTTCCCAACCACCCGGTATCTAACACCCAAGGCACCTGCAACGAACGACCAGTAGCCAGAGAGGTGTTGGGAGACAAGTTCAAGTTAAGTGCGTTTACTCCCTCTGGTTTAGGTTCTCATTCCGGGAATGCGAGAGGGAGACATCACGACGAGAGAGCCGATCGTCGACAATCGATTCGATGTGACAAGGGGCGCCAGTCTATCTTTGTCTTTGTCTTCGTCTGTCCACGGGTCACCTCCCAGCTGGCTGCTCAGACAAGGTCTGTACTCCCTCGGAACCTTCGTCCGCCGGGTGATATGGTGTTAGGGGGGTATCGAAGATTTGAGTTCGTGTTCGAGTTTGGTTGTTCATTCTCTCCAGCCTTACTACCACTTTCCGCGGATGATGTTGATATCTTGTCCACTTCTCCCGCCGTCCTTGTGCTTTTTTCTCTCTGTTCCCTGCCGACGCCCAAGCACCCAGTCCATCATGCCTGCACACGATGGACGGTGTCAGGAAGATCTTCCACCTTCGTCCGTCCACGGGTCTTCTCCGCATCTGAGGGGGGAGAAACACCACTAGGACGGTGTCCTCGGCGGCTTCGTTAAACATTCGTCCGTCGGGTGCTCCTGCTGTGGTGCTATGAGGATATGTGCACTGCACTGCGTATTTCTTCTATTCATGTCACGACACAACTTGACGGGCATGCGTTCTACCAGGTCGACACGACGTGATTCATGCTCGACGGCAGGACAGTGGGGGTATTCTATTGCGGCTTGCACGGTCTTTCTCTCCTATCTTCGATCTGATTCATTGCCAGAATCGTTGACATGGTCTCGCTTTGCTGTCGTATCGTGCATTGCGAGTCGTACCTCCATTGTCACCCTGCCTTCAATCTCTCATAGAAGTGTCTGTCATCTCCAACCCCGCAATCCGACTTCGTTCCGTTCGTCCATTCTGTCCCTACTTGCTCGTATCCTCACCGACCGACTACACTATTGCTTCGTCGTCGAGCCGTCGAATCCCTCAGGGGGGGTGTCCACTGACGGTCTAGGGCACAGAATGCGTATACAGTGTCAACCCGTTGACAAGCAGACTTGGGAGGCCGAATTGTGCATCCTGGGCTGTAGCGCGTTCTTTGCTTGAGGTTCCGATGCACTCGTATTCTCGTTCTATGTTGCATCGCTTTCTGGTTTCCTGTTCCCCGTTTCCCTATTTACGCGCCGTTGACTCTCTTGAGCATTCAAAGAAGCTGCTTCAGGTGCGTACCTTCACATCCTCGATGAATACACTAAATTCATGCGTCGAGCTCTACACCTTTGATCCAGGACCATCCTCTCCGTAGACCTGCCAAGGCGGTCCGTGCGCTGTGCCTAAATCGGATCCCCCTGATCTGTGCTGGATCTGGATCTCGCGCCGATCGGTGACAGGTAGTGACGTCAGCGGGCGTCACCACAAGCGCCATTTTGGTCTGCACAGCCACCTCCCACCTCTCCTTTATGTTATCGTCCGGCGACCATTTTTTCTTGTTCTTGGGTACTTCCTGCCCTCCTTCAATCAAAACCGAGTTTATCATGAACCAAATACTCTGCGGAAGGACACGAGAACGAGCGCTGGCTGTGGAATCAACCTCTACGGAAAAGTCGGTGAGAATGACGGCTCCGATGGGGATGGACGTCCTAGTGCGTCGGTTTCACTGCTTTTTCGTTAACGCGAATGGTTGACCTGTCACGCTCGTTCGAGGTCGTCTTGCGGTTTTTGGTTATATCGTCTATCCGTCCATGTTTCACCTGCTCTTGCTTAGCTGCCTCTGCTCTCGCACCAATCTCAGAATTTACATCGTCGCCATCGATCACTGCTGGCCTTTTCTTCTTCAATACGACTAAGTCCTCATGTTTGCTGCTCCATCGCGTATCCCTACGGAGCATCGACTCTGATTGGCCTGAAGTTTTGGAAGGGTGATAGGTGCAGAGGCTGTTCCTCTGCGATTGGCATGATGCGTGATTCTTTCCTCTTCGTTCGTTTCAGGACTCTACCCACCTCCCCTAGCCCTCGTCTTCTCTTACCTCAAACAGCCGCCCTATTTCCTGGACCCACGAAACCACCGAGATCGCCACTTGTCGTCTGGTCGCTCTTCGTTGTGGATAACCGGTGGAACTGGTGGACGTGCCACGGGGCGACGTCCTCCTCGAGGACGAGTCGATATTGCCGGTTCTGAGTGTTGAAGAGCTGGAGGGGGCGTTGGAGTATTTGGAGGATAAGTGAGTGGTTTTTGCTGTGCGCGTGCGACGTTCGTCGTATTGATGGAATGGGTGTAGGGAACACCCGCTTGTGTCGCACGCGTTTACAGACGGCCCCGACAACAGAAAGACACGTACGCCGTCCTTCACCTTGCACCTTTCTTCCTGTTTGTTAACACCTCATCCTTCTCAAATAGTCGAATCCCTAACCACCTCCGGTAAATTCGTCTTCAGCGGCACTTTCACGCAGGTGGCTATCAACGAGCTGCCCTTCGGCGGCGTCCGCGAGTCGGGGTACGGCCGGCGGGTCTTGAAGCACAATTTTGAGAGCTTCATCAATGAGAGGGGTTGTGGACGTTCCTTTTGGGTGAGGTTTTGGGGTTGCTTTTCGTGAGGGGTATCGTGTTTTATTTTCGAAGGACGGCCCTGTAGGGTGACTTCGTTTTCGTCTCTCTCGGGTATTCGATGCTCGGTTGGCTGACTGGTTCAAGGGTCTGTCCATCTTCGTTTAAACTCCCCGTCCTTTCCCCCTTCTTCCGTTTGGGCCAACGTCATTATTCGTGGTCTTTTCCATCTTTCCCGCTTTGTTTCCCACCGTCCCTCCGCTTTCTTCCTTTCCCTCTGAGATACACTCATTCCTGATCTCTCCTCTGCCCAGCTCCATTCACGAGCATACCACCACTGCCCGCCTTGCCTGATCTTGACACCTGCCATTCCCCGTTGCCACCATTTCGCTTCGCGGACGGTCAGAGGCGACAGCTTTGCAGTGATCATGCACCGCAGCTAGGGGTGGTGGCTCGTCTAGGAGCTGGCCGTCTGTAACTATTTCTCTTTGTCCTCAACATTCTTTTCGCGTGTCTACTACGTTCCCTCTTTTCTTCTTTTCCCTTTCAATGTTGACCTCGAGTGCTGACCACCTTTCGCTTCATTTCATGCCTTCTATATCACACAGCGATGAACCCCACCTCGCGTTGCACTACCCGCCGTCCACGCCCGAGTCATGTCGGCCCCTTTCAAGGTCGATGTTCCGCGCGGGTAATGCTTTTGCGACCTGCGCTCCTGTGTCGACGCGAGCAAGAACATGGGGTGTGTTTCCAGGATGGGCAGACAGAGGTTGGAGCTTCGTTTGGAGGACGAAGGACGGGTGGCGAGAACAAGCTACTTGGTCTTATCGATCAAAGAGCGATGTACAAAAGCGCACACACCACGTCTATCGAAGGAGGAAATTGGAATTTTACTCAATACAATGTGATCAATAACACCCAGGTCGGACGCGCTTCTTCTTCATCCATGGCACGGCCTGACCGAATTTTCTTCCCGGGACACAGATTGTAACCCCCACGACTGGTGACAGCTCCGTCGTATTCAGGAAACGAGTAGGGATGGGAACTATGGGTTGGTTAGCACGACTTTGCGCTGCTCTGCCTTGAGTCATGCATCGCATTCGTTGTTCCTGAGGAGGCGGACGAGTGGATTTTATGCTAGTTGCGGGCTCGGTGTATAGACCGCTATAAACATGTACAGGGCGGTGGAGGGAACTCCGTCCGTAGTTTCAAGTCACCCACTCTTTTCGTACATCTGGTCGTCGAGAAAAGAGTCCTCCGAGTGGTGTTTGAGAGAAAGATCCCCAAAACGAAGACCTATCAGTGAGAATGAGCGTGAGTACGGGTGTTTTTAGAGCCCGCTGCAGAGAGCAGGTGCTGCTGGAGGCGCAGTTCATCGCAGTGCGCATTGGAAACAAGCGGGGGCCATAAAATATACCCAGAAATAAATGAACGACCCATCACTGGCCCTCTACCCTTTTACGAGTCAAAAAAAGAACATCACCTGTACATAGTGTAAGGTAGATACGCAGAGGGACGCTCGCGCCAGCCTGCGCTCGAGCCACTCGCGGGAAACGGCGAACGCGTCGGCCAATCCCGTTCGGTTAGTGCCGGCGCCAAATGCCAGCGAGTTCCTCGTAACCTGGCCTGCTCTCCCCACTAGCTCTACTGTCTACAACTCCTGAAGCCGAAGACTTGATGCACCGCCCTTAGCGATGGCCTGATTCCACCGCCCATTCACTCCGGTGCTAACGTTCTCGCCGCAGCGCGTTCTGCTGGTTAGCTCCCCCTCCTCCATCTTCATCACGGCCAAGCGTGTCGCGTGTTCGTCAACTCCAGGCAGAGGGAGGTGCGTCCGTGTCGGACTTGCATTCCGGGAGGCTGCAGTTCCTCCTGGATCGCAGGAAAGCGCGGGGGTGATGTCCTCGAGGACGAGAAGATTGGGCTGATTTTGCCGGATGTGAGCATCAAGAGGAAAAGTAAGTGGCCTTTTGCGATGTGTGTTCTAGACGACGAGTTGACAGCCAGTGGGATGTAGGGAACATCCGTCGGTGATGTATGGGTTCACGGACGCCGATGAGATCAAGAAAAAACGTACGTCCCAGCTTCCTTTGCCCCCTCTCTCACCCTCCGTCCCCTTCTTCTCTCCATCCCCCCTCTCCACCTTCCTCTCGTCTCTCCCTTCTCTTACCCTCTGTCTCTAATCACCCTCCGAACAGTCGACTCCCACACCACCTCCGGCACGATTGTCTTCGGCAACGCATTCGAGCAAGTCGCGATCAACGAGCGTCCGTTCGGTGGAGTCGGCGAGTCGGGGTATCGTCGCCAGGTCTTGAAAGGCAGTTTTGGGAATTTCGCGCCTGGGAGAGGGGTTGATGTAGCGTTTGGGTGAGCTCTTCGCGTTCTTTCCTTGATTTAAAAGGCAGTTTTTGGGGTTTTTCGTGGTAGTTTTTGGATGCCGGCTTTTTAGGTTCTGCTTTTTGGGGTATTCGCACTTTTTTTTCAGCTGTTCGAGATTCGATCCTAGCGGCGAAACTACCGCGTTGGCTGGCGTCAGTTGGCTGTCGTTTTCCTTGTTCCTTTTTCTTTCATTCTGTTCCGGAGAGAGACGAAGGGTTATGATCTCCTTGCCTTGGATGATGACGGTGTTATGCCCGTGCTCCCCACTGCAACGATCCTGAGCGATCCTTGCCCTCCCTTTCTCGCTGCCCCTTCCCTCTTCCTCTGCTCCAAGCTCCATCCTCAACCACACCACCGCTGCCTGCGCCAACCGATCTCGAAACCTGCCACTCGTCTGGTGTGCCTCTTTCACGCATGTTCAGAGGGGGGCAGCTTTCTTTCGTGTCTACGTTATGTGCGGTCAGTGGTGGCGACTCGCTTGTTTATGGCTTCAGACTTGACTGGCTCGATGGGCTCCTGATTTCATTCTCCTTTTCTTGTTCAACCTCCTAGTGGAACACGAACGCTGACAGGCACTCTCGTTCCCATCCTACAGCAACGAACCCTACGACACGATACTCTACCTGCCGCAGACACTCGAGTCGCTCGAGTTTATGTCGGTCCCTCTCAAGGGCGACATTCCGCGCGACAAGCCTTTAGGACTATCTTAGTCCCTTGGTCTACTGGCGTAAATTTTCAGGATGGCCGGAGGATAAACGTCGGGGTGTGCGGATGGATGTTCGTTTGGTTGGCGAAAGGGGATGAGAAAGAAGGAAAGAGGGAGGAATATAGGGCGCTTTGTCTTATCCGGTTGTTTCGGGAAATATAAATTGTATCATCTATTTCTCAAGGTGATCTGATCGCTGTTTCTATCCTTCAGGTAGAGATGCAGGGGAATCGTCATCGCTACTGAGTCGAAAATTCGGTTCTTTTATCTTACGGAGGACCTAATGTAGTAATATTATTTTCGCAATCGAAGGACTCCATGGTTGGTCATCATCACTGGTGCGCGGTAGACTCCTGGTCAGTATCACTCCTTGTTCACGAATTTGACTTCACACTATATTGACTTGTGCTTGGAGAAATGTGGTTCATGGCCTCGTAATAACGAAAATGTCTAAATAATGAATAGGATTTGGAATAAGAGAATTTCTTTCTCGTCTGCGACCACCTGAGCGTTGTAGACCGTATGGTAGATTATGACCGAGAACGTTCCCCCAGTGGCAGTGATGCTAGAAGCATTTGCGAAGATGCTCATGAGGGACTTTCAGATTGGAACGAACCATGCGTGCCAATGCCGGGATATATATCACTTGAGATGCGGTTGGCTGGATCTTTTTGTCTGAAGAAGCTCAGAAAGAGTATTGATTTGTGTACTGCTCGGCCCCATGCGCACCGTGGTAAGAGCAGTGACAGTTCTCGTATGTTGGCTGGGTAATTCTGGACCGGGGTTTTCTCTGACAAGATTCAATCCGCTTGGGAAAATACGATCTACGCTACTTCATTCGACAGATCTATCCAGTTCAAATCGAAGGCATTAATGAAAGGGAGGCAAGAACGAAAGGTGGCGCACTCGTCTTTTCTGAACATCGAACTAACAGACGTCGAGGAAGAGGCCGTGTACGCAGAACTGGATTATGACCTCTGTCACTTCTATAAGTCGCCCAAGTTCGTACCAGGGGTTCGGTTGGGGCTGATCGGAGAGGGCAGACCAGAAGGAGGATACTCCGGGACACTCGGGCCCGACTCAGTCAGTCGGCATGTTCGGTCGTTTGTCTCTCGGCCTCAACTGCCACCTTCTAGAAGAAGTCCATCGTAACTGGCTTTCTGTATCTGAAGTCGCCCTCTAGGTATTTCTTAGTCTTTGTCAGGAGGTCTCTTGAATACACCCTTCTCGTCTCGAGACAGCGCCTGCCGTCGTTGGCCCATCTTCGAGTCATCCACTCAATCCATGTCCTACTCATTCTTCGTTAGCTGTCCGCGGAAAATTCTAGAGATACCTACGGGCGACGGCGACCTTGGAGAGCCCAAAAAGACTGATGGACGTATCCGCAATAGAGTATAGTATAAGGAAGTCGTTGTTACACTTGAAGCAGTGCCGGTGGAAGGCTAATATCCAGCTCGTCCGACAGTCAACGCTGAGGTAGGAGTCGAAGGAGAGTCTGAATATAATCCGGATAGATAGAAGCAAGGAAGTGAAAAAAGGAAACATAGAACGTACCCAAAGTAAGCATCTATCGCAGCAACTACGCCGTTACGCGAGAGATCTGAGGATATGAACCTAAGCGAGTGAGGGATGGCATGACGGCTCCTTAAGTTTGGTCACTCTTGCGATGCGGAGGATAAACACCACTTCGGATATCCAAAGATAAGAGAGCATTAGAACTATGTCGACGTGAGCTACAAGGAGATGTGTAGGTCCATGAGCTTTCAGAGCAGCGGGAACGTACGATGCTAGGCATATCCTGCTCCCCCTTGGGTTCAGGCAAAGATAGAGCTAGATAGAGTAGGATAGTTGTGTCCTTTGGCGTAGCGATTTGAATACGATGACGTATCCAGTCAACGAGTCCTTGAACGCAAGATATAATGCAGGTAGTTAGAAGAATATCGGACCTGGGGTCGAGGCTTTAGGGCGAATCTGCGAGCATTGGCCATTGCGGTGGTCATGTTGATGTTGAACTTAAATAAAGCTCAAGGATGCGTGGGAGTGAGCACATGCAAGCTTAGCCAATCGGATCTTATGCTTGCCGGACCGGCTCTGGATCCGATGGCCCAACACCAGAAATTTATTTCTTCTCTTACTCTACCACCATCTTTCAGGACCATCGTCGCTGCCGATCCCCCTCTTCTCCAACTATAATGGACTGAGGAGTCCTCATATGATGCGGCATACTTTACATATGAGCCCCATCTCTGCATTCGTCCTCTAGAAATGAAGCTGGTCCTGCTTCTCATTGACTTTACTACACCCAACAACGGCGATCCAAGTACCCACCTGAAAGGTCCTATGTCTATCCATGAACTGGCTATCCGGTCTTCTCGCATGGTGATCAGGCTCACTGTTATTTCACACCTCTCGGAGGCGGCAGAAGTCATGCTTGAAGACATTTTCGAGAGCTAGTAGACGGTCGATTCAGCTGGAACAAGAGCCACCTGGGGATGCCTTACTCAGCTGTTGCCCATTTGTCCTGAAGCCCCCATCCTGCCATCTCCTCAAGTGTTACCTGCGAATCTTCCCCCCATTTGTGATTGTAATCCTCGTCATCTTATACACCACCCTCTCTCTTCCGAGTCCTCGCCACGTTTCCCACCCACTCCCTCATGCCCAGGCAGACTCGCTCTCTACCCGTCTCGAATCGCTTCCCATTCTTCTTCCCTGTATTCTCCATGGCTTCCCGGGCCCAGACATATATGAGCGGTGCTTTCCCTGACAAGCAGGTGACCAAAGCACTGTTCACGCCTGTCACGCGGGAATGCCCCCGCATCCATATTCTGCTTCCGGGTATGTAAGGATTTATCCATTGAGCTATTAACCCTTCGATTAAGGATGCGCTCCTGAGAGGAGAGGGGTGGTCCCGGACCGGGGCGACACGAAGGGAGGGTATGGCACAGTTTGGTTGTTCCGAGATGTTACGAGGTGAGGGTGGTACGTCTCTTCTCTCCCTTATATCCCTCCCAGTTCCTCCTTCGCCTCCACAACCACCTTCAACTCCCTAGTGGCGCCCAAACACTCTTACCAGACGGGTCATGTTACGAGGCCATCTACCGTTCGTCTGTCAACTCATCCGCTCTGAATATTTTCCGTTCTCTAAAGGTAAGGAGTTGCCTGGCGCCTCAGAGTCTTCCTGGGAGCCATGGCGGAAGTTGGACGATCTTCGCAGTCGTATGCTTCGCCATGCAACTGCCCTGTGCTCCACCAGGTCGCTATGACACAATTCATGCCTGAGGATGGCGGGAGTACTCCATTGCGGCTGGTAGGGTACTCTATTGTGGCTCGTACAGGTCTCCATCCTCGATCTCCCATCCTCTCTTTGGTTCATGCGAACCTCCATCGACCTCCGTTCCCTCTCTTATAGTGCATCGTGAGCTCTATGCAACCATCACATTTTGATCTATCATTTAGGTGCCTCGTTTGCTCCATCTATCAGGTCCTCGCATGAATTGCCAAGAGGCTTCGTGCGCTGTGCCGATCTGGTGACAGTCGACAGTGTGAGGAGCCACGTTGGTTCACGGTCTGGAACCGTGACGAAGGACAAGCGAAAGGAAAATTAGCAAGAAATCAGACAGAGATGCCGAAGCAACGAGACGGCTGAGACACCCAAGAAGTCAGAGCGAGAATAGCAAGACGAGAATTCACATGGATTAGTGCCAGTCGCGATAAGAAACTCAGTCGGCTGATAGAACAGAAGATACGTGATTCGCCGTTAAAGAGACAAGAAAAGGGTCGGCGCGGGAGTTCGGACCTTGGCAGCCAGGATGACTGGGGAGGTGCAGGACGGAGAGTGTTCCGAGGCAGTCCCAGAAGCTGAGCCATGCAAGATGAACTTAGTGCCAAGAGGCTTGTGCGGTTCGGTCCTCGGAGCCGTTGCCTCATCGCTAAGAGAGAGCATGTCAATGTGAAATCCCCCGAGAGGGAACATGTGGCGTGTGCGACGGGTGCAAGCATGAGACAAGAAAGGCAGAGGCCAAGAACAGAACGTGTGGCGCACGTCTCTGTCTGGTCAGGTTGAAGGGGTAGGGATGTGTCCGCGGACACAAGCGGGACAGGTTCGTACGAGTATAAACACGGTACGGTAGCACAGAGATAGCTCAGCTTACTCCTGGGAATTATGTAAACCTCTCAGGTATCGCGAGAACAGCTCGAACGCGAGCGTGCAGCCTTGATTCCTTTTGTATCTACCCTATTGTGTGCTCCTCAACGTGTTTCACTTTGCCGTCGAGCTCCTTCCCTCTCCATCTCGCGGCGTGTGCTTCGTTGTGACGTTCGTCGTCCAACCTCCGTCAGTTTCTCACGCTTTGGTGTTTCGTCCACCCACCCCGAACTTGAACTCTCATAACGTCACCATCACCATGAGCGCCAATTTGGATGTCCACTGCCTACCACGTCTCAGATATCTTATCCTCTGGCAATCATTCTTTATTGCCTTCCATCTGTTCTCATCCACTCGAGTCAAAATATCGCACTCATACCCATATCAAGGGTGGGGTTGTGGACAAGCACGGTCTCTATGCCGTATATGGAGCAGTCCCTGAATGCTACGCCTCCGTTGATATCGTCTTCGATCCTGCCGCCGCTTTCACTCTCCTTCGTTTGGGTAATTGACGTCGCAGAGGATTTAATAGTTCCAACAGCCCCAATATACTCGGGACTAAAAACAATAGGTAATGTATTTAAGTTGAAATAGTCAAATTTTGACGTGCGAGGGAAGGGGAAAGGTAAGCGGTCTCGAGTAGAATTCAAGTAAAAACTGAGTTAAATAAAGAATACAATGATAGCAAGGAATCCATGATACCAATGGCCTTTAAACCCGCTGGAAGTCGCTTGGCACAACGAAGCGCCCTGAGCAACGGAGGGGCGAAGGCGAGCAGTGCCAAAACAAATAAACTGCTAGTAAATCAGGAGGGGTGTTGGCTTCAGGAAGCGCCAGTACCTATCCGTTCTATGCTTCATTCCCCCGTTCCCTTGACCCCAACTTCGCACGGGCAAAAATCTAGTTCTCCATAAGTGCTGGTTCAACTCTTGTGTGGACATTCAGCTGGCTCTCTGTGCCACCCTGGTTCTCTGCAGACTGCGCCACTCATCCTGAATCCAACCTTATTATTGCCTTATCGCCCGGTGTACGCTATAATATAGGCGCCTATATATGTAGGAATATGCTTCTTGATGGCCACACTGGCGAACATATAAGTATATGAGAATTTCGTGACGATACCGTCAAAGCACCCGGCTTACCGATCGAACTCAGCGCCGGGACGCGATCACAGACTGCAGTGGCGGCACTCAAGCCTACACGAACAAGTAACCTCGTGGAGGAGGCGCAAGCTTTGCACCAGTTCCAGAACAATCCCCACCACCACCCAAGTCTTGTGGTTGGGATAGACGGCCTGGCTACCTATAAACCATTGCTACTGAACAGTGTCTCCACGAAATAAAGAATATCACTTACTTGGGGCTCTGCCAACCTAATCGAATTAAGGACTACAAATGTTCCACCAATGACCGTAACATTTGAGGAGCTATTGAAGAAACCTGCCTGGGGGAGGTGGGGAGTACTCAAGGGCAGAACGGGGTCAGAGTTTCGACGTCTCTGCGACATATCGAGCTTAATTGTAGGTTGGTTGGCTTGTAGACGGGTACACATTGCTCTCTTTAAACCCTGATCATAGCGTGGGAAATGCCCTATGTGCCTCGGGTCATACTACGATACAACGGCATCCGCGGTTCATCCATGTCCCGTCCAATCAGGGCACAGAGTTCGATTTAGGTTACGCCAAGTGTCCATTAAAAAATTCTTTCGACACCTAGGTCGCGCGGGACGTACGTCGGCTTACCTGGTTCATCTTTAACCCCCCGGCCTGTCTTGGTGCCGTTTCCCACAGCCAGCATCGCCAGTGACTTGTTGGCTGTGTGTCCTTACCTCAAGACCAAACGCCGAATGAAGGAGACACGATCAAACACAGTGGCAATTCGTGAAAGGAAGGAATAGATTTCAAACCTCCAGGCTCCAACAGGTGCACGGGAGGGGTGCAATGGGTGGCTTGTGTAGAAAAAGGATGCGTTCTCCCAACCTTCTCCCATTCATTTATTTATTTGTCTGATTGAAGGGCAATTCACGTTCGAGTTCTGCTAGGACAAGCGATAGTAGATACCCTGTCCACCGGAAGGTGTTAAGGCGCGAGGGGCGGAATGATACATGGGCGACACCGGGAGAAAAGTACCATGCCTAGGACGCACCTGTGTTGACCTTTTCCCTTCTGGAGATAGCCTAGTCGCAGTGGCATAGAAGAACAGTCATTCGCGTACAGTTTGGGACACGAACCAGGTTTCTCAGTCCTCAGTATTGCTTTAATTCTTCATGACAATTATTTCTCCATGCCGTCACCTCCCGCGCCACCACAGAGGTAGTCGCTAACCCTGCTGCTAACATTATTCAAGATTGCGGTCCCGATGCGCTCGCCAGGTCGTCCAGTTTTGCCTCCTATCTCCTCACTTATGCTTCTGTCTCGATGCTCAGCACTGGATCGCCCGTCTTGACCTTCCCAGCCACTCGCTGCCTGTGTGGCGCATTTTCTCTGTTGCCCAGCAGCATGACTTCGGCGTGATCTTTTCATGTGCGCAAGCTGCGAGTTTCTGCAAGCAAATGGAATTGAGTGTCCCCAATCATGTTATCCCTACTAAGAAATCTTAACTCCTGTCTCACATGATAATCCCCTCTAACGCCTCTTGAACTTCTGGGCCAGGGGCATTGTAGTGTCTGTGGTTAGATCATCGCGCGGTGATGGGTTGGGTGTACAGGGTACATAGAAAAGAAGTACGTGCTTTTGGTGTATGTACTTAGACGCACTTTTCGGTACACCTGGGCTGGCTGTTTCTTTATAGGGACCGCGTGCCAGCTTAATACACTTCCTTCCTTCCTTCCTTCCTCTGTTTTGTTTGACCTCAATGTTTTGAATTTTATTTTTTTCACTTGTTGAATTTATTTTCTTTTATAACGAATGACAAATATTCCTCGTCGAGGCAACCCGTACCAACACAGAGAAAGCAGAATGGATGAAATAGGGAGTATCGATGACTCCCTGACTGACAACAGCAATCTCGAGGAACCATCGGCGTTCGGTGGTGATTTCCAGGGAACACTTCCAGTTAGCGTACATAGGGGCCTCGAAGCAGGCGGCCCAGTATTTCCGCTCAAGTCCGCCATCATCACTGGCGGCATTCGCCAGCTCATCGTTTCGAAACCAACATTGGATTCTCTTTGCACTCTCATTACTCGTGTTCACGCCCCATTCTCTGAGCTTCCTGCTCTTCTTCGCCACCGTGCAACCGCCGATATGAACTCCTCTTGACAAACACCCGCAAAGCACCTGCATCTCGTCGTCGTCATCATCGTCCCAAGCCCAATCACCAATGTAGTCTACAGAATCAGGTCCGCTTCGGGTGGCTCTGTTGCTCTTGACCAGGCCTCGCAATGCACGCTAAGCTGCATGGGTCAGCTCTCCTTCCTCCTTCGGGTAAGGACCTGCGCGAAGAACGAGTTGCCCTACCTGGTGCCTCTCCTAGAGAGCCAACGAGTACCGTCCGAAGCTTCTGCTCATCCATCGCCAGGGATTTATGTCCTGGCAATGGGGATTCGTAGGAACGACATCCGAGAAGGTGCGGCGAAACGAACCCAGGTGTGAAGCGAAGTTCGGAATGGTGTGCCAATGGATGAAGCATGCCAATGGTGAGTTATGTTGCGGATAGTGGGTAGGGACACCGTGCTGTGTATGCTATGTGGACAGTGGGCAGCCTTCTCCTCTCCTCGCCTTTGCGCAATCTTTTTCCTCTTTGACGGCGCTGATGTGTATTCGATAAGGAACACCAACTCGTCCTATACGCATTTGGGAAATCCGTATGTTCTTCTCCTAAAATTTCTTCACCCCCAACCCTCGCTGTGAGGCAAAACTTCGTGCCGCTCGTGATGAACGAGGTACCGTTGGTTCGGCGTATGCTGCCCACGTTCGGGTCAATTTCCTATTTTATTTTGGTTTACTGGCAGCTTTTCTGCCTTCCAGCTTCCAGACGACGTTAGTCTCGTCACCACTCGTTCTACCTTCTTTCTTTCTTTCCTTCCCTCACGACTTTCTTTCTCCAAATGTTCGTGCCGTGCTTCTGTCTTCTATCCACCCCGTTGGCATTTTCATCTATCCTTGCCAACTTCACCTCGCTCGAGGGCGATGACCCAGCCCTCGTCCAATCTGACCGCATCACACGATGGTGTCGATCAGGGACCCGCATGGCTGCAACTGCGCACCTCTCCTTCATCTGCGCCGAGCGCCCGTCTCTCCATGGCTGTCAACTTAGTCATCTCCGAGATACCATGCGCCATGTGTCCTCTGCCATTTTCCACAGAGGATGGGTGGCGCTTGTCTGGTGTCGCCAATTAGGCATTTCGGCGATTGTGTTCTTGCCTTATTCCTCATTTTCATTCTGCCATTCGCTGGCTTTCTTTACCCACGCCTCCTCTGTCTCCCGAGTTATTTCCTTTTTTATATACCCCCCATGCGACACAATGCCGGCTTTGTCGCTGGGTTTGATATTCGGGGAACGAATCGCTCGTGGTTCCGGTCTGTCTCTATTCCAAGCTTTTGCCAGGTGGAATACGGCGCTGCTCTTTTCAATTTTCTATGGATACGAGATCAATGAAAAACACGCCGATGAGAGCGCTTCTGTGAGGAATTTGAGTAGTTCTATCTGGCAGGGATTCGGGTTGAGGTTGCCCAAATTCACGACTACCCGAAGCCGATACCCATACTTGTCGAGGCCTCATTGCATTATCCTAGGCCCACCGCTGTTGACAGGTCATGTTGTGAACGGTGGTTGGGAGATAGGCTGAATGGGCATCTCCAGCCTTCGTATTCATAATAAATAACACAGACGGCGGTAGCGTGGGACTTTGGGAACAAATTCTTGATTGGCCGGAAAGCGAGGCACGCGATGTGCACGAGTCGCCCCAGGCTCTAACCTTAGCTTCAACGCTCACACTCGAGCTCGATATTCTGCCTGCAAACAGACCTCCATTTCTTTAATTTACCACACTCAGATCACAATGAGATCTATGCATATACAAATCCATGGGCCCTATCAGTCAAAAACTACACATTGTGAGTTGTTTCACCATAAGCCAAGCGCGCAGCATTGAAAGGCGATCCTTACAGCCTTGAAGTCAATAAGTCCGTAACTCTGCCCATAATCGTGAAATACACTCAACGGAATGAATCAGGCTACAGTTGGAAGGCACGAGAACCGCAAAAGTTTACCATCAAGTCCGAAGGTTTCGACACGCAGCGAGTGTCGCTTTCGTCTGTTGATTGCGATCAGTTGGGGCCGATGGTACGATCCAAGATTCTTTCACTCCGGTCTATCTCACTCGTCTCTAGTCCCATGATGTAGCGTCATATATACGAGGCATTGGCATTCTCCCGACCCCGGAAGAGGTTGAAAGCTTGGTCAAACAGCGGAACGCACGCCAGAGAGAAATTCGCGAGATTCAGTCGAGGCGCGACCACGTGTTCAACTCAATCAAGGCTATGTGCGAGCATCTCAGTGCCATAGAGGACTTCCTTGAGGGGAAAGCAAGGCAGGTAGCCCTCATTTCCTCGATTATTGCGCCAATTCGACGACTCCCCCTTGAGCTCTTGACGAAGATTTTCCGCCTCACAATCCCACATCAGTGCTCACCACCGCTAGAACGTGACCCGCCACTCCTTCTCTGCCGGGTTTGTACCCTGTGGAGAAGTGTTGCTCTCGGAGACCCAGTCTTATGGTCGCGTATTAGCTGTCGATACCCTGTGGCGCATGAACACATTCAGACCTTTGAACTGGATGACTCGGATGGGGACGAAGTGATACCTCACTGGGAGGAGAATGTAGTCGTCCGAGATTATCAACACTTGGTGCAAGATCTCGGCTTCTTTGCTGAACACTCAAGAAATTCCCCTCTAGACCTAAGTCTATATAATTGCCCTACCAAGAGGATCAGGATCGATTCGCCGTCCTCGGTGCTCCAGGACTGCAAAAAGAATGCCTTCAATTTAATCCTGACCCTCTTCCCCAGATGCAAGTCATTAACAATGTCTGCCGAATGCAAATGGCTCAATCACCTCTGTCGCACGCTTACCCCCAACACGTTTTCTCAATTGACATCCCTCGACCTCTACATTTCTAGAAAGGTGACGAACTGCATTCTCTCGTCAACCAACATCTTCGCACTCTCCCCACTCCGGTTCTACCACTTCAAATCTGATTGGTTGGTGGACCTGGTATGCATTTCCATCAGGCACTCGTCTCTAGAAACAGTCATTGCATTTGGACGACACCAACCACGATCGCATGGCAAGGGTTCAAATTTGGCATAATTTCCTCACGCGGTGCACCAATCTTCGAGTTGCCCTTATTAGTTACAACGTCTATAGGGATCAACCCCTCCCCGACGATACAGTCTGGATGCCTCCCAGTCAAGACGGGTTTCGCCCGTTGATCCACCTGACCAAGCTTGCTATACGCACCAATCTTCACGGCAGCGCATCTACGCTGCTTCGTGACCTCAACCTGCCAGCACTCAAAATGCTTATGCTAGACGCCGATGGTCTCTCTCGATTTTCGCTCCTCCCGGCAGGCGTGGCATTCGTGCCTACCATTATACGCGACATGGCATATTTCCCCCAATTGACCGCCCTTTGTCTAGCTCGTGTGGCCATTAACGACGAAGATCTCTTCTCTCCCCTTTGCCTCACAACTGAACTGCGGACACTCAGCATCCTCAAGACTGCTGTGCGCTTAATTCCCGGTATGAATCCAGCAAGTTACAAATCACAAGTATTGTCGGAGGATTCCTCTGGACTCATTTCGTTCCTCACGATCAATGAAAGAACGTTCAATAACGAGGGCCATCTACCCCCTCTTCCTCATCTACGGTCTATTGTGCTATTTTACGCTATTGAAACATTCGGTGACCACGTACCATACATCGCATATGCCCGCCTTGCACACTCCCGCTATCGATAGATGCTCGATCACGAGCACCTCGATATTCGCCGATCAACTGCGCAGATTCCATTCGAGAAGTCTCCCTTCCAGATGTGTATTGCCGGGGAGAGAAGGCAGTCTAAATCTCGTCTTGGGACTGTTATCTCTGCGTTGCAGCATGCCATTGGACTGCTTCATACCACCATCTTGAGGACGGAGCCTTGTGCATTGTTGAAATTAGCTCGTGGTGACGACCACTTTTTATATCTTTGGTAGAGCACGTAGTCTAATAGGCAGTTAGGAATCTATCGGTTGACATCTCAAGTTACCTCCAGTATTCATGGACGAGTGCCGATCGTAATTTTCTGAAAGTTGGATTCATGGAGGTAACCTACGCGAAGTCTTGCCAACAACGCTCCATCGAAGAGATATGAATAGCACAATAATGCGCCAACGGGCCTTCAAATTCTACGAACCAAGGACAGGTAAACTGATTGTAAAAGAGTCAATGACGGCGACGTAGAATGCACCTGGGATTTATAGCTCTCCGCAGCCTTTCTGGCAGTCCTCGTTTGGGCGATCTTTCAAGTACCCCCGTCTAGCAGGCCGTGTATACTGCTTCATGATGCTACTAAAACTCGAATGAGCCTTTCCTTCATTATTGAGGACCACATCTGCAGTGTGAAGGCGAATGTGATTTTCGAAGTCAATGAGAGCACCCAGCGTCCAATTTCTCCCGCTTGAAAGTGCTATTGGAGAATTCTGAGAGAGTTCTAAGGAGCGCAGGTGGAAAGAGCAGGAGTGAGCAGGCGGTCAGGACAGAAGCCAAGAATGAGCAAGAGAATATATATTGAGAAATGTGAGGACACACCCAAAGTGAGCACGAATCACCCCTAGCTCACGCTATACAAGAGAACTCGCGAGGCGGCCTCTGGGGGCGATGGCGTCGACCCCTGCCATCGAGGCCAGAGTCCCACACTGTTGCAAGGTCTTTAAGAGTTACTGCAGAAGAATTTCGGTCCAGTATTACAGCGAAAGAGACGGACCTCAAGCCATAATCCTAGACGAACAACCTCCGGTGATGTTCTTGTATTCCTAGTCGCTGACAACAATCATCGTTCTTCAGTCACGAAAGCGTTTCGAGGGAGAGGTGGAGTCAAGAATCTCATGGAGGTCAGTACTACCTGATGTGTGAGGGATGGCAGGAGGATCGTTGACAAGCATGACGGTGGTTGTTGAGCTGCTGGACGAGCTTGAACCATGCATGGGATAGCGGTGACGCCCAATCGGATTCGAGAATCAGTTGCGGTTCAGATCAGCCGCCGGCTCTGGAGTGGCATTAGGTTATGTCCTTTCTTCTTATTGTGAACTTCCTCCCGGCATCGTCATTGTATCTTCGCTCGCGATCCGTCTCTTCTCAAGCCTTAAGGGACAAATCAGCAGCCTTCCCATGCGGTAGCGCGCTCTTTATGTGTGCTGTGTACGTGTTCATCCTACCCAAACCTCCTAGCGCCGCTTCTCGTTCACTCGTCGGCTCCAAATGGTGGTTCGAATACTTAAATCTTCTATGGATATTGTGGAACGTGCTAGGTGGATTCTAACTATCTTCCGGGTTGTCTCACCTGTGCTCCGCTGGGTTCGCGTTTTATATCCCTCGAGGTCCATGGCCAATGCAGTTTTCTGTGCTTCTTCGAAGGGCCTTCTGAGCTGGTACCCTGCGATCTCTTTGTCCGGCCAGCATAAAAACATTTCTATCTTGCCTTATCACCGTTTGTTTACCCGGAATAGAGCAGTCAACCCAATTATTCATAATGCGCCCATCTCTGGAGCGTCTATCTTGTCCTCTGACAGCATGCTGACGATCTCAGAGTCGATATAAAGCAGAGACGGTACCATTAGCTTGATATACGCTCCGGTTGTAGAGATTTCCTGGATTCAGGAGCAGAGCGCGAAAGTTTTAGCATAAGCCATCGTACCGCTCCTGGCCAACGCTTGTTCTTTGGCGGGCTATCCTCCTTCGCCCTCGAGTCCTTCTTGTATATCGTCCTGAGCCGACGGATTCCATTGCGTGAAGGCTCCAGACAAGATAATACGGCGTTGGATAAGGGAGCGCCTCACGATTATTCTTAACTTGGGGCCGTACGCTTGAAGCCCAAACGCACGCTATAGAGTTTGCGAGTGAGAAGCTTGGAAAACCTAGTTTGAAATGGTCCTTCTTCTCACCATTGTCACTGACGGCCCCTCAAACCCCGGTCGCGTTTTTCTTGAACAGACGAGAGCGGCATGAACATTCTTCCAATCCCGCTCGGGCCTCTATTCATCAAGGGAGTCCTATGCTCACTTACGGCCATTCAAGCATTTCAATAACGGTCACACACCTTAGTGTCCGTCTCTTCATTGAATCTCCGTACGCTGTCTCTTCTCTTCTCACCAAGACGTCCTCGCCCCCTCACCGTCACTGAAATTTAACATCGATTTACAAACCCCAGCCAACTTCATTCTCATCCTACTCGTACTGAGCCGCTAGGGGCACGGAACGTGCTTATCTCTGACTCTCCTATCTGCCGCCCTGGACCAGCTCGCGACCCTATCTCCTTCGCTCGTCGCCTACATTTCTGACCCCAATGTCGGTCCTTTTTACATCTTATCGACTCGGCCATCAAGCTTTCAAGGGCAAAGACTGAGTCCGTTAAGTCGAGGAAGTAAGTATCTGTTTCCACTTCATATGATCTATGCTCTAGCCTGCGATGTCGGCGTTCTTTGCACTTAGATCGTTCATCATACTGAATACCGCACAGAAAGGACACTCCTTAAGTCACGGCACTAAGGAACGGCGCTCAGAAAAGCACGGACTATAGGGCCCAGGGACCCAACATCTTCGTTGCCATTCACGAATTCGATCGAATTGCCACAGTCCAGAAGGGTACTCGGTCTTGAGAAGTACAACTGGACGACCGACTGAAGTTCGCCACACATTTCTTTGTTGAACCACCACCATCATCTCCTACCGCCAACGTCACCACCTTGCGCTGGGGACAAAGCTCTCATTCAGCACTTCAGCTTCAAGCTCCTGACAGGTTCCAACGCGCCATCCTACCTGGCCCTATAGTCATAACTCTTACCAAGACATCTACATATCCTACCCGCCGATGGCAAGTAGCAAGTTTCGATGTCAACCTGTAAGCGATTGACAATGGCTGTTGGCTGTAGGGCAAGGAGAACTCACATGAGACGTGATACGGCTCGCCTTCCCGCCTCGCGACGCCAAGGTTGCACACCTTTCTTTCTCCCCTTCACGGACACGGATGGAGGGACATTTAGATGTGGAAAAGGAGTAAAAGGATCACAGCAAGAAGACTCAGCTGTAGAGTTTCTAGAGCCGAGCACGTACCCATTTGGAGGATGGGTGAGACAATCGCCACCATCTGTACGATGCCCTCGATGTTGTCGGGGCAAATGTAGTGTTTGATTCAGCAAGAGGAATGAAAAGGCATCGCCTTCCCCTGCTGGAATAGTGCCATCACGAATGTGGAGGAAAAGACATTCGAAGTGCCACATGGACGAACCCCGCGTTCCTCCTGTCCGATAATTAAAATCCAAAATTTGCGCGAGTTCTTCGCTCCGCATGGACCTCCTGCATCGATGACGGATCCCCCGCAGAAGGAATCCAAGACGAAAGCTATGTGTGGCTATAAATTTTCCAGCGCTCTGAGGGATACATGGTTCAAAAACTTACGCGGTCATTTCCCCGCCCTACCACCCAGACCAACGCCAAAAAGGACCTTTAACTCCGAACTTGTCAAAAGCCCACGCAGACAATGACCTGTAATCTGTAGTCTGAGTAAATTTGAGCAGAGAATTTACCCAATGAGGTGGAAACTTACTCTTTCAGCGCGACTCCAGAATCTTCCCATATAAAGCGAATTTACACGGGTGGAAAAGACTGGAAACAAAGTTCTGGATGTGTGCAAGTCTAGACATCATCCAGAATAGTGCACAGTCCGACGGCGAGATCTTCGCTGAACATTAGAACCCGTCCTTGACCATATCAAAGGCGTTCATGATGGTTTGAGGCAGTTCGAGGATGACCGCCGAAGGGTTCAGCCGGCACTGCTCACCTAGGGCGAATTGGGTGTATCTTGCCTGAGCGGTAGCAGGGTTTGAGGTCAACGAGAGAGGCTTCAGAAGTTCTGTCAGATCAGGGGGCGTAGTTGACGGTGGTATTCCATTATACTGGATCGCGAGCCATCATCAGACACCGTAGCGCGTTCATCCGGGTCTCTGTAGGCCATCGAATGGAACAGGATTAACCTAAAATAAAAGGGATACAATACATAAGGCTTTGGGATACAGAATTCGACCATCAATACAAGTCCGTGAATACATAACAAGAGTTACTCAGCCGCATGCAAAGGATATCGTCTGAGCAGGTCCTTATCGTCGTCGCTAATGATACACCGTGGTTTCTTGCCCTCCTTCTCTTCTTGAGCAAAGTCCGAATTGATACAACTACGAGTATTCGTTCATGAGCCTTCAATACTATGAACAGCGAAGAAAAGAAGCAGACATACCGTAAGACCGCGTTTCCCGGCTTTCCCCACTCCGTCGTGTCAGAGACCATATACTGAACTACGATCATCTTCGCCGCCCCAATGTCGTTTGGGTGTAGATCCACGTCGGTGTAATAAACCGACTTCCCGTTGTAGTTGAAGTGCAGAACCGCGACATAGGTGTCCTTTCTGCCCGACATGTCTAGCTTCGCCCGTCAATTCTTCCACCGCTCCATGAAGCGCCTTATCGACTCCTCCGGTAACGGCCGCCTCAGGTCTGCCATATCTACAATATGCGTAAACCGTGTGACGCCCCACACCTTCCTCACTTTCAGTTGCTCGGGTGTCGTGTGTCGGGAGCGTATGAACTCCAAGTCGATATCGGAGGTAGGCCGGAGTGAGATGCTAATGCCAATATTGAGGAAGGTCGTTGTTGGATCTGGGGCGGGCTTGTCAGTGGGGGCAATAACGCTTTTCATTTCGTGCACGACAGCGAGGCGGATCTTCTTCATGAGGAAGTCGTTTTTGTTTACACGGTGGATGAACTTGATAACGACGCTGAATTGTGGTTGGGTTTCGCAGCAATCGCGTCTATGGAATGGCCTACGTCATGGATGGGGTTATATGAGGAAATAAATAGGGATCGAGTGCATATATGTGGCATACCAGTCAAGTTTCTGACACTGCGACGAGAGGCGGTCATCACAGAGAGGGAGCTCAGAAGCAACGAAAGGGCGGTACTTCTCGCGAACAATACCACATTGACTTGCACTGAAGTCGGTCGGAGATCGTCAGCCATGCGAGGCAAACAGTAGAAAGCAACCTCGTACCCGAGCACATTTCTGGAAGCACTTCTTATCCTCAGGAATCTTCAAGCAATGACTGCAGGTCATCGCGAAGTCCGCCATCTTTTCCTTCTCCTTTTCGTCTCGCCCTGGACGAGCACACTTCTTCGGGTCACTTGGTTCCATCTTGGCTCGCTGCTGGGCTGAAAAGGGCGAGAAGGGTAGGGCGTGAAATGGAGCTACAGGACTAAATAGAAGTAAGCATTCTTGTTCTTGTAGACGTCGGCCAGTACCGCTGGAGAGGCAGGGGTCTCATGACCTTTGGAGAATAAGTAACGTTCAAGACTTACCTGAAGTTACGGTGGCCGAAAGAAGCGCCTCGATGACGGGCGCAAGGTTGTTTGCCTCTGGCGTCGAATGCTTCCGCTCGTTCTGGCCCTCGTAGCTCAGATCCCCCCGAAACTCAAGGCGTGCACACGGCGGGTAACAGAAGAAACTTTCGGGGTCGCTGGTCTGACAAATCTTCGGTCGATGGCACGATGATGGGGATACGAGAGCAAGACCGAGTAAAAGACTAGATAGTAATACTAATACGGAGGAAAACGTCACCACGTGTCGCGGATCACGTGATCTTGAAGCACCGGACCGACGGCGCTGAATGGTAGTGTCGCCACCAAGAATGTAGCACCAAGGATGGATGCACGGCTGGTGGCTGCAAATGGAAAGTGCGGTGCTTCGTGGCAGGTGGAGAAAAGTGCAGAGCATCAATTTCACTGATGTAAATATTGAATTTCCTGTGAATTTGGGACGACTGGAATACAGGGTCACTACGGGATGATTTTACTAGCATAGTAGATGTAGAAATATCGGGCTAAATACTTTATAAAGCAGGCAAATGTAATCGACGGATAGAAACAACGGAATTCGGTCTGGGTGTCTAATTTGTCGCCGCTGTGAAACTGTCAAAAAGGAGAGAACGATCTTGTGCCCCGGCTGTGACTCTAAAGAAAAAGAGAGATGGCGGGGTTGTGCATGTAATATACTTGCTGTTGAGGTTTGAAATGTCCGGACAGCATCAACTATCCCGACTGTGTCCAAAACCTCCTATTAATTTGAGAGTAGATCACAGCATAAATGCCATGATCGCACCTCAATTCCTCCTTGTCGAAGATTGGTCTCCGCTCATGCAGATGATCCCTTTAAGACCATTTGCATAATTTTATCTTTCCATTCCTTCAAGAAATGGATAATGTTCGTTAAGAAGATCCAGAAAGATTTTTCTTCCTTTGGTATCTCTGGTGCAGGACCCATTGGGGTTGGATTTTCCTGCATATTGTGCATTGGGAGTTTATTGTTGCTCGGGACTTGATAGTAATAGTTGTTGATAGCACTGGGGTAATAATAGTTATTGATAGTGCTTGGATGGTACTGATTGTTTATAGTGTAGTGTCCGCCATTGAGCTTGGTGTTTGAAGCTTGTGGAAAGAAGCTTTGACACGTCTTGAAGGCCTTTTAAATTTTTGAGTTGATAGTGAATGTCCCGAAGGATTGTTCAGACCTGTCTGAACTCACAGGTTTTCCATACTATGGATTTGCCGAGAGGGTAAGGCACTGGTGGATGCGGGAATGTGGGTGCTTGGGAGAGTCGCAAATACTTACTCTATATATGCATCGCGTCTGTATTGGCAAGACAATCATGATGGAGGTCGTCATCAAAAGCCACTTCTATATGTCCCGAGGAACACCCCAGGGTGACACTGTTTAATTTTATCTGGGAGCCCAAAATACATATGTTTCAAAGCTACCATATTTCCGGGAGTCCTTGACTGGAATTAGGCTATTATGACAGATGGGATGATAGTTTACACCGCAAATTCCACAATGGCGGAGTTTGCGATCAGTCATACACCATAATTATGAGAATCGTGTCTGGGATGAAGGAAAGAAAGCCTGGAAAAGACTATTTTCCGTGTCATGGGTTCGCGACTCGTGGACAAACGATTCAGAAGGAACTCGAACGAGACCTATTCGAGGAGTGAGGCTGTGTCCAGCACGACATCTGTCATGTCGAAGACATCTATGATGCGATTAAAAGCTCAGAACCTTACTGCGGAGAACGAGGTCGAAGCAGCTCCTGCGGGCATTGCTGGCCAATCGGCTGGCTGCCGTGCGGCGCACATCCATCACCTTATCCTTTTGGGGAAACTTGCAAGGCATATCCCCTTTCTCCGACGCCGCCCCATGTTCTCGAGTCATGTTGTAGAATGCCTTCCTTAGGTGGACTTCTCTCCTGGGCGACCGTATCCAGCCGTCGGAAATTTTACGGAACCTCGAGAAGTATACGCTGACGGAGCATGTGCACCACACCAACTTTTTCTGTCTGTTCACGAGGCCTCACCCGTTGCTCCATCACTGATTCTTGGTAGTGTCGACGAGGAAATCGGTGGTCAGGACACGAGAAGTTTGACCCCATCGCTTGATATAAGTCCCCAGTGCGAATGATGGTTAAAGTCGGAGAACGTGTCCGGCAGAAGTACTCTATCATTTCAACCTATGTCTGTCATTCAGACCAATTCATGTGGACATCGACGAGCGGTTGGACTAGAAGTAGACTGAAGCTCGTTCATAGAAAATTCTTGATTGATAATGATTCAGCAGCGTGCCGGCCATTCCTACTTTCAATCTGACTGCGACAACAAAAGCGGTCACGAAACACGCTCATAATTCAGATACAGATTTTTGTTTAATTGGGACCATTTCTACTAGAGTAATTAAGAGAAGACAGAACATTCGCTAATTGACAAGCACGATCGCGGGACATCGACTCGCCTCAATGTAAATTGTGAAATGTCTTCAAAAAGTATCAAAGAGAGCGGCAAGCGGCCCGATTGCTCTGATCGCTGTCTCCAGCAATGATCAAATACTCCCACGGTTGGTTTTTGCCACCAACATGAACTTGGGGATACCCGATACCCGACTTGCCTCCAGATATCCTGGGACACCTCGATGACAGACCACCACCTGACGATGAAGAATTGTCAAGGATTATGTACAGCGCAGTCAATGGGGTCCAGCCTTCAATGTGTGGTGCATGCCATCTGGGCGCGGATAACGCCATAATCCTTCAGAAATGTGCTCGGGTTCGTGTTGCGCTGCTTCGGGTTGCTACATATGCTTACGCATGAACAAGAACAGTGCAAACGGGAGTATTATTGCTCGAAAAAGGTCAAATATCTGTTCGGATCTCGTGCCGAGTGCGTTTCCTGATAGCCATTTTCGTACGCCTAGTGCCAGAAAACTGATTGGTGCGTCGAGCAGCGTGCTATCCAAAAGTTGCCCTGCTTGCTTCAGCTAACCTCATCAACAGGCCGAGGCACAAAGAGAAATGTCAGCCGATGGAACAGCACTTACTCGACATGCGGCGCTCCATACAAAAAATCCAAGAGGTGCCCCACATCATGGATGACCTCCGAACTGCCATCGCCCTAGAGTTGCTCTCCATTTTTCAGTCACCCAACACCGACCCAGAGGAGATCCATGTCATTGTCATTCTCGTCTTCATACGTCCTTGCTATCCACCGGACTACTTCGACCTCATGAACCCGAACGTTCCCCTTGAGCCACTTTTGCAGCGAACCATGTTCGGCACCCTGCGGTTCGTCCATGTCCTGAACCGCGCCGATGTAGAAGAAGAGCCGCTCGAAGAACAATACCTCCTCTCGAGCCGGATCCACGAAGCTTCCTTCATACGATTGGGAAACCGCAGGCTCGGACGGTGATGGTGATGTTTGGGTATCGCGAGAAGAACCTTTACGGCTCTCCTATGGCCATCTCACCGATAGACATTGCGAAGGCCGAAGAGGTGGCCAGGGCTACTGGTTATAATTCCCCGAATCCGGAACATCATTTCGATGGGTCGATGAACCCTGTCTTGAAGTGAGTCGAAAGTCGGAAGTGGGGTGAATTTACGCTGACTGGTGGACTCCTGTCTTGTCCTACAGGAAGATTAATTCAACCCTTGATCGCGAGGAGGGGTTCATGACCAGAATAAAGATCGAGCTCAGTGATTCGGACAAGATACTGATTCGAGAAACCGAGATGCTCAGTTCTCAGCACAATGAGTCGCTTCTCATGTCTATAGCTGATAATAGTGGCTGACAATAATCATTTCCCGCTCTGTTATTTGTCGAACCCTCTCGTCTTTTTTTGTAGGACGGGTGTCATGGTCGACACTCGGAGCTGTAGCTTCTATGACGCCTAGATCTCCGAGTGACGACAAAGGACCTCCCACTGGGGACGTTATGGCACTGAACACTCCACGAAAACTAGCGTCATGAATCAATTCTTTTCTCTTCGACCCCTCCAAGACCATGTCGTACGCCGTTTTGGTTCTCTTACTTTCTTTAGCTAATCTCATTTCCTTTTGTACTCACCATCAGGTCGCGTTGGGGAAAGGCAGTCTGTGACTATCAAGCAATGGAACGATGGCCTCTGTATCCTTTGAGGTCCCATCTCATTGGCAACGAAACCTGGTTCACTTTACTATCTGCGGCTACCCAGTAGCCGCTTCTCCTAGTCTTCTCTTTCAACTTGTTCCTCGAGAGAAAAGATGCTTCTTATACTGGGAGAGTTTATCTCGTTGATCGCCTCCAAATCGTCTTTCACCTCCAGCGGAAGACCTACGACACTCGCGGGCCACGGCGACGTATTCTCCTTGGGTTGTCCCGCCCTTGTCCCCCGTCCATTTAAGTTTTCTATTTGTCCCTCATGCCCAGGAAGAATTTGCCTCGCCCAGTGTAGAAGAAAGTCAGTTTCTGCCTGCCTTGACCGTCGCCCTCGATAGCCCCGTTTTACACGGAGGTCTGTTCCTCCTCTATGCTGATAAGATGTATCCCATCGTTGGCTTCTCCACGTAGCGAACCTCGTCCGGCCGATGTTCATGGGCCTATCGCATTGGTGATGGCCGGCGAATTCAGCCTCGAGGACGATTCAGAGGTGGGGTATAAAACTTGCGGTAGGCTTCCAATCTCGTGATCGTCTCCTCATGGGTACTTATCTTTATCGTGTAGTTCACATCAGTCTTTCATTGCACCAAGCAGAAAGTGAGTCATCCAACTGCTCGTCACTCACACAAAAGCGATCCGCTGACGACCTCCGTACCGAGTAGCCGTCGCGGTCGCCATTCTGGCTATTCTCAGGCAAACGTGTGAGAGCTTGCCCGAGGACGATACCCCTGGTTTTGACGTTGACGAGAACGCCGTCAATCTCTATATTCATCGCCGCTGTCGTGGGGCTGAACATAGATCTAGTGCGACGAGCCACCCTTCCAGTCGCTGCTGCCGACGCGAAGTCAAATGGGTATGACGGAATGAAGGCCCTAGTCGGAACGGCGGAGGGTACTTAACCGTGCCGTCGTAGTGACTCTCGGTCTGCGGGTCTGAGCGAGAGACGAAGACGCGATCGTCGAGGAGGAGAGTCCTCAGAGCGGCACATGTGTCCAACGACGGTCTTTTCGATTCAGGGGATGGAGAAGTGAGAGCCCCGGGGTCGCGATTATACCTGACCGCGTCTCAGGTTTGGGTCCTCCTGCAGGTCTCTGAGTCAGGGTTCAGAACGCGATACAGGGTGCTACCGATTTTTAGGCTCTGCAGACAACTCGAGATTTCACCCCAAGTTCAACGTTTGGTAGTCGCGAAGATGTTGATCGTCTCCTCAAATTCGGATACTTCGTCCACAAGGTGCGTCTGTACGATTTGTTGCTTCAATAAATTTTGAGTTTCCTTTCGGGATTGAAGATGAGAGGGGCCAGAATCTGCAGCTCTCCCATATTAAGCTTCGTCAGGAAGACCAGCGGCGATTGCAGGTGCACGATTCACCCGCAGTTATCCAGCGACACGCTACCTTCGTCCTCCACCCGGCCATTCTAGTCCTGTTTGTCATTTTTTCACTATATAGACTGCGTATACTGACAACACTTCGTCCGCTCTCGTGAAGGGGGAGAGTCCTGTGTACGGTTGAGTATCCCTTTCGCCAAGGGGTACCGTACTATGGCAGGGCACCTAGCCTATCTCAAGAGGCGGACGTAGGCAAGGCTTATGGAGCCTTTATCTCCGATTATTATTGAGAGGGTTTTCGTCATGCTAGACTTAAATCTAGTAGCGGGGTGGGAGTTGAGCAGTAGGAAATCGGAACCACGAAATCTTCGAGCTCATTGAATGTACTTATACGAGGCCGACACTTACCGAGTAGACTTATCAACTCGTGCGTCCTGGAAAATGCCTTTCTACATCGTCCTGCTATGTATGCAAACATCATCATATTTTCCAGTAAATATCTCTTTCTACAACCCGGCTGTTTTCACGACGAACACGTTCTGGAGTCAAAAGAATCTCGGTTATAGAAGAATTTTCTATGCCAGGAGAATCTAAATGAACTGCTTGACGATGTCAATGGCAGTCGTAACGGCGCCAAAGATGGCAGGGAGGAAGTTCTAAAACGAGACGGTGCACATCAGCCAAAGCATAATGTCGTTCTGGACTAAGTAAAATTACCTCTGCTTCCGGCTCGGTGTCAGTGAAGGATTCAGCGGTCAATGCCTGCGGAATATTTTAGATGAGTATATTTCTGCGTAAAGATGAAGAGACTGACCGCTTTGTGCTCGTCGAGAACCTTGAGGCTACCTTCAACGCGAGCCAGAGCTGCCTTGAGGTCCTCGGCCTTCTGTGCGGTAGCCAGAATCTCCTTCGTCTGCTGCTCGTCCTCAACGAGATTGCTAGATTGGGCCAGAGCGCCAGTGATGCCTTCGAGGATACCCTTCGCCTGACCGACTTTCTGGACGATGGGTCCAATCTTGTCGGCGATGGAGATGGCCTTGCCGGCGGCGCCAGCAATATCACCTGCAACTTTGCCGATGGTCTTCGCGATGGATCCGAAGTTGAGGCCGAGGAAGTCTGAGTGTAAGACGGGTGAACAGCGGCGGACGGGCTGAAGACGATATGACTTACTGTCGGCCTCGGCAAGGACTTCGTTGACAAGTGCATCGCGCTCTGCAACGACCTTGGCGAGTTCCTGAATAATGTTCCTTCAGTATCGTCTCCTCGTTCACAAGAGTTCATAATTTACCTTCTGGGAGGCAGCGACGTCGACCTCAGTGAAGTTTTCCCCAGCCTTCGGGATGATGGGGTGAGCGGCCTTGGCGGCATCGAGGCGAGCGTTGATAATATCAAGCTTGAGGTTGGTGGGAAGAGTGGTGAAGTAGTCGGCCGTGGCGCTCATCGTGATACGAGGGTTGCTTTGTTGGGTGATGCTGTAGCCGATTTCAGTTGGTTGGGAGGATGGGGAGACAGAGGACGTACCGTAGCCATTTTATACCTCCTGCTGGACCCGCCTACGAGCATTCTGCCACATCTGAGGAGAATTATCGCGGTCAGATGAGTGAGGACGACGTCTGCCACTGTGTTGCGTGGCGTCTTGTCATGTTCATCTGAGCGAAATGTCGTCTAGGTGGCGCTTGTTAGGTTTAAACATTCAATATTCAAATTTGAGGCGTACCAGGAGGACCAAGGTCAGCTTGAATGAGCCGGAAGCGGGTCCAACGCGTCAGGGAGGCAGTTCCAGATGTTGCGTGAGCGTAGCAAATATTTCTACCTTCAATTTCTGAGGGGTCCTGAAAGAATGTGATGAGGTTATAGGAGGGATGCAGCGAACTGAACGCTCACTGAGAATTACTTAGGATACGGGCTTCATTTCTATGGCAAGACTGAAGACCTCGAATTAGAGTGGTGGTAAACACTGGCGCTGAGCTCGTGGTACCAGTAGGGTTTGAAGCGGAGATTGAATCTGGCGGTGTCGAGGACTGGGGGAACGTCACTCTCCAACTTGTTTCATCTCCCTATTCCTCCTGCGTATCTCGATAAAGTCTAAACGTAAACGCCAATGCAGGCTCCGATTTACATGCCCTCCCCTGCTAGGAGGATTTTCTCACGAAGCTGGACGCACAAGAGGGTGATGCGATGGACTATATACTCTAGAGAGTCGACGAGGTATCCAGTCTTCCCACCTCTTTGTCAGAGCTAATTCGATTTTCAGGACGGAACATGAAACTGTGACTGCTGTATATCTCCTGTCTCGTCAGCCGACCCGTGGATTATGAACATTTGCGGTTTCCCGCACGATCACATACGCGTCGACGGTTGTAACGAAGAGGCTCACTCCAGGAGGATCGCAACGCTGTTGTGCTCGAGCAATCGCGATCTCTGCATAGACATCCCGCCCGATTCAATTTCCCTGCAGCTGACATCGAGTACGTCGTTTCTGATCGCACGTGTTGTGGGCTCTCCTTCATGATCTACTTCAGAGCAAGCAACTACAGTCGGCGAACCAGAGCTTATAAAGAGGTTCTGGCATCTTGCATGCGAGGATACATCCAGCATGCTACACGATAGGTGGGCCTGAAGTCGTTCTGACGGCATCATATTCTGACTGACTGACGGAACCCTTGTACAGCAGACAGCAGCCTGACATTCCGGTCGTTCCACTCAGCGTATTTATACGCCCTGCTGACCATTCGTTTTCTCCATCCCCTCAACCGAGCCAACTCTTGAACGAAACAAGATTTCTACTGAACAATCATGAGCGACTCCGCCAACTTCGTCCGCACGCTTCCTACCGAGCTCAGGCTCGCCGTTCTCGAGGCTCGTCTCCGTGCCACAAAGGTACCCTTCGCAACTGCCATCAAAACTTCTGGAGAGAACTTTGTCGGGACCGATGTCGCCGCCGAGCAGACCGTGAGCCTCATGTCCTTCCATCCTCGAATGTCGACTGGGCTAATGACGGATTTAGAAATACGACAACCTCGTCGCAGAGAAGGACGAGCTTGTTGACGCCGTTCTCGAGGAAGCCGAGAGTAAGCCATAGCATGACTTTCGCCTCATCCAACACTAACTTATCTACTGCATAGACTTCCTCGGGCTCAACTTCGGCTCCATCATAGGCACTATCGGCAAGGTTACGGGAACAATCGCTGGTGCAGCTGGCAAAGCCATCTCCATCGCTGAGAAGATCGGTCCGATCGTCCAGAGAGTCACCCAGGCCAAAGACGTCCTCCAGGGCATCAGCGGTGCTTTGGCCAGTTCGAGCAACTTCACCGAGGACAAGGCCCAGACGGAACAGATCGCGGCTACCGCACAGAAGGCTGACGACCTCGACGCTGCGTTGGCCCAGGTCCAAGGTAGCCTGAAGGTCCTTGAGGATCACAAGAAGGTAAGTACCGCTTTCGCTGAATCTTGAAATGCAGACCTTGATGCAAATACTTCTTCCAGGCCTTGATAATTCCCGAATCCTTCACCGAAGACGAGCCTGAAGCCGAGGTATTCCCCTAGTTTGAATATGTGGTATTCTGTGACTGCTAACTCGCGTTCAATATAGAACTTCCTCCCGATCGTCTTCGGGGCTATCCAGGCCGTGTCTACTGTCGTAGGCATCGTCAAGACCCTCCGCAAGTAAAGAATGGTAGCCCTAGCAGAGATATTCGTCCGTACCGTGGGTCCAGAGTGTTGAGTGGAGTCTGGTTTGAAAGAATTGTGTAGATCGTTTCTAGATATGTGTCCCTGAAAATAGCATCCCGTCTCGTTGAGCTGGCGTTGATATTCTCAGTTTGACGATCATTCGTTTCAATTCGGACAGGATATTCGAGCGTCTGTAGGAAATGGCGATAGATGACCAGTTATAAGAAGTTGTGCGCCAAGAAGCTCCAATGTTACGGAAGAAAACCATGCATGAATTATTTCAGTAACACATTTCACTGGTATGAGATGATATCGAATTATTGTTAAGAAAGAGCGCCGTCTCTTTTTCAGCTAGAATTTAAGTAACAGTGTGAAGTCTCTTGACGACGGCGTCTCCTGCCATTGAGAAATGGAATGCAGAAACTTAAAGGGATGCCACAGCTAATAAGCGCCGTTGGTGTGTATGGTCGCCCGCCCAACCGAAGAACACGTAGCCATACCTCGGTGAATACCAGAGCCGACACTCATAAAGGGGCATCCAGGTACAATGCTCAGAGTATAACTGCACCATGCCGCGAGCCGCTTGACACGGAGCGCGGCGGCACACTGCGTTACGGAATGACTAAATCCAAGGATCCTCGCGATAGCCTCATGGTCATCGCGCCACGTCATATGTCAAGGCGGGGCGGGGACTGAGATGTGATAGGCAAGAATAGGCATCATTCTACGAACACACCCTGGACAGCCTCGTTCATATCAACGGAAAGATCTGATGCGCAGTGTGCCATGAGTCAGATCCTTTTATGGTGCTTTTTATTCCCGTTTTGGTAATACCAAGCTGCACGACTCGCGCAAGCGACTCGACCGGTGGATGGCTGAACGAGCCACACGAGGTTGCCAGACTCAAGCCAGCCGACGTAGAAAACAGATTATATTCGAATTTATGTATGTATAAAGACTACTTGTAGTGTCGTCTAATATATTTACAGCCCCGCTGAGCCTGCCAACGAATACCCATATAATACGAAGTCCCATAAAGGAGGACGCCGGTTCTCATGGCGCGGAAGAGGAATAAAATAAGTAGATGATTGGGAGTAGAGGGAATAATACACCATGGCTTGAACGTTTCGACCAGCAACGGAACTACTATAGCATATGAATAAAGGTAGGATAAATCACCGGCTTCGAAATGCTGGAGGGTCGACCTCTTCAAACATTTATTCGAAGGAGAAAATCGAATTAAAGTTCCATACTTGAGGACAGGAGAAAAAGCTGGTTCCGGTGCCCAAGCGCCACTCGTCTCCCTCTGTACTGGAGCACGCGACGGATACCCAACATCCATCAATTTATCGAACATAAGGGACGAATCCAGGATCTGAGCGAACTAGGTGCGTTAAATGTGAGAACTGATCGTATTGAATATCAACACCAGCGCTCACCTCGTCGGGTGCCTCCCCTCCTTCTCCCCGACTCGGAAGATTCTTCTAAACTCGATATGCTTGCCAAAACGTGGCCCGCCAGCATGAACGCAGGCAAGATTAGCATTGGTGTGATTCCTGTGTCTGGCGCCGCCTGGTTCGGGGACGGCAGCGGCGGCATTGAATGTGTAAATGGACGCGTAGATGCTGGAAATCCTTGACTCGACAACTCGGTGTGTTGTCCGCGGTACGGGACAAGGGAGTCCGTTAAAGGGCTTGCGGTATGCAGGCAGACGACAATGAATGTGCCGCCATTGATGATGAAATGAGAGGCGTTTGCGAAGAAGCTCATTATGAGCTTACTGGCGGGATGTAGGGTCACTTTGCCTGATTTGAGGTGGTTGCGGCCGTGGGAGACGAGGGAGGTTGGGGGGACGATTCGGGGATGAGCTGTCGTTTAAATACGCAGTGGGAGGCGGCGAGAGGGGTGCAAGAACTGGTTAGTAGGAAATTTGACTCAATTGGTCAGAAAGGCCGGCACCACACTTGCCGCAGCACTTCGGTGTGGGCCGCTGCTGACACTACTTTTCCGAGCCTTGCCGCTGGGGCGGGCTGAAATTCCCTGTTCAAGAATAGCGAAGGGATTGTTCTGGTACGCGCCTGGCTCCTAGCTGCGTAGCAGAGCGCATATCATGGTGGAATAGAGTGCAAGAAATGGAGAATATGCATGAGTTGGCCGATATAATGATTAACGCGCAGGAGAGGAGCTTACCGCGTCGGTGAATCGTTGGAGAATATGCATCATGTACAAAGGGGCACCGCGAGCAGTGGATCATCGGATAGACGGAAAAATATCTCTGTTTAAGAGGAACGCGAATGCCGCGTGTTGTTAGCACAGCACTAAAAATTATACAATGTACTAGGTTAGGCGCCGGACCTTCGAGCCTCTCCTGGACCCATACCGCTTATACCAATGCTTTGCGCTCGGAGCAGAATTCAATGGAATGTTCCAGGATGCCCGTCAAGCCGTCATTGGCATAATGGTATGAGCCTGTCGATGGCCGCATTCTCGCCTTTCACAGCTATGTCCTATGGTGCGCGCCATTCCGATAAGGTGGGTCTAGCGCCGATCTCGGCGCTTCAAGAGTGGCATTTTCCTATTCCTGTCACTTCTGTCGAACGCAGGTGCCTTGGATGACATATCGTCAAAAACCTGTCCAAAGACAGAAATTTTTCTATGAAATGGTGGTTAGATTTTCGGAAAAGTAGGCAATTGCGAGCAGTGACAAGGATCGCACAAAGCGACGCCCACCATGGGGGGACTCGGTCTTTGCGATTCAACGCGAGGATTTTATGATGAAACTCTGAAATGCTGAACACTTTGCTCTCGTATGTCTCATTATTTTGCACTGACCTGCACAAGGCTGCACACTGGTCGCCGCCCATGCTCCCCGATGAGTGTTCGTCAGGCACCGCGAACAACCATATGCGCTTAGTTTCCGCCTCAAAAAGAGGGAACAACTCCTTGTCGGCCGCTTATGGACTGTTTTGTTGCCAAAAAGAAAACCATGTGATATCGCGCCCATGTGATCTGGCGCACCGAAACAACCAGCGCCTCCCGCCTACCTCTGCCCGCCTCTTCATCACCGCCCGAGTCATGCTCGCCCTCTGGCACTTTGACCGCCCTGTTTGCGACCTTCAGGTCCCGACGTATGTCCGCCTGATGGAAATATCGGTCCCTGTGCCATGGAAACCCGCCTTGGGCGCTGATGCCTAATCACGATCGCGCCCATTGGGTCAGGAGCTCTGGAGATCACCGGCGTACACGCACAGGAGTTATTTTTGTTAGTGTGTAAATTGCTGTGCTCAACTCCGGCGAGCCGTTGGGCCGCCCTGCGCTCAGTGCGGCCGGAGATTCTACTTAACTTGTTTGACTTGGTGTTCGTGCTTCGTGTGTTCCGACGGTGAGCATTGTCCTTCGTCCCGCCCCCGGCTCCCGACGCCTGACTCACCCAGTGGCCCCTTTCCAGATAAATAGCCCGACGCGATCTCCCCAGTCCCGCTGGTGACCCACACCGACGAGCGCACAGGCACGCTGACCACGAGCGAATACTTGGGTCGACCACAAACTCCAAAACCCGCCCAAGAAATGGCAGAAGCCGCCGACGAGCTACGTGAGATTGCTGGCATAAAGCCGACCGTGTGGCTGGAGGATGGGGAGGAGCGTGAAGTCAGCTCGCAGTCGAGGTGTGTCTTGTTCTCTATTTTCCCGCCCTTGCCATCCTGCTTCTTTTTGGCGTGTGGAGTGGGCGAGTGTTCTGGCTGTCTTACACGTGCATGTGACGGACGCCCGCTTTCTGTGCGCTAGGGCAGTATGGGCGCGACTAGAGGCAGGGTCTGCAGCTCGTGTGCGGGAGATGAGCAGGGGAACTGCAGGCTCTGAACTGCCATTTACACCCAAGTTTCCGGGTGGCCGAGCGAGCAAGGCTGTTGCTCGGTCTATTCACCCCATCGTGCTATACGAGCACTTCGAATTTCCTTATCGTATCCGTTCGTATCCCGGCTCTAACGCCTTATTTCACAGTAATTCGGTGTACAAAGTCAAGCGTACATGGGACCACTACTACTGGTAAGCTCGGCGTCTGTTCTCGCCTTGCCACCACTGCTTGCACCTCTTTCTCACCGCCTCTTCTTTCTCTCGCGCAGCACTTGCCCAGTAAGTACTCTTCGCTTACAGATCTTTCTTCCTCTCCTTCGCCGTCTGCTCGTGAAAGTACTGATTATCGAACCTTGATTGATTCCTGAAACACCAACAATTCTCCTTGCTGCCTGCCACTGTAATAATATCCCCTCCTGTTCCTTTCCTGACTAGGCCTGGCGCAACCAGGTAACGAACGTTGTTTGTCATCCCTGTGGGTATCTCTACTGACGGATTGATTACTTGCTCTTTCTCTTTCTCCCATGTCCTCGTCTGAACATTTCCTCCTGGCATTCGAATCTGATCTCCGTCGGCATTTACCCTATCCCGCCTTCCACTCGACGTTGAATTCCCAACGAAATTACTTCTCGGCTCCTTCGCCATCTCGACTTCTATGTCACTGTGGGCGCCGGCTATGAATAGGGCGGGTGCCCAGTCAATGCGCGCACATGCAAGCACCTCAAGTCTCTCCTCGGCGAGAAATACGAGGTCGCACGGGTCAAGATGAAGAACCCAGACGGCCCGGCGCCGAAGGCAGGTAAAGGCAAGCCGACATCGAAAGCCAAAGCGGTGAAACCTGCGTCAAAAGCGAAAGCAAAGCCGGCGAGTAAGGCGAAGGCTACCGGAAAGAGGAAAAAACGCGACGAGGACGAAGATGATGAAGGGGATGAAGATGCCATGGACCAAGATGAAGACGAAGACGAAGATACGAAACCACCGCCCGCCAAACGCTCTCGCAGGGCCGCTGCTGAACCGAAGGCGAAAGGTAAAGCCGCCGCGAAGACGAAAGCAAAACCCAAGAGCAAAGGAAAGGCCAAGCAGGAAGAGGACGAAGAGGACGAAGAGGAAGGCGATGGCGATGAAGAGGAAGACGCTGAAGACGCAGACGACGCCCCTGCTGCGTCAGGCAAGTCCCAGCCTCCTCTTCTCCTCGCCAACAAGTGGGACATCGAGAAGGGCCCGGACCCCACTGGCTGGTGGATCTCGGAGAAGCTCGACGGCGTCAGGTACGCTTTTGTCTTCTTTTTGTGGGTGACTGTGGCGTAGAAATCCTAATGTGGGTATGACAGGACTTTCTATGACGGGACACAATTCATAAGTCGTCTCGGAAATGCCTTCACGCCCCCTAACTGGTTCTTGGATAGTAAGGCTTACCTCTGCATTATGTACATGTACTCACTAGTCGCACAGAGCTGCCTACGGACGTCACCCTCGACGGCGAGCTTTACGGCGGGCGGGGCGAGTTCCAGTCAACCGTCTCTATCGTCAAGACCGTCAACTCGGTCCACTGGAAGAACATCTCCTTCCAGATCTTCGACGTACCCTCTCGCGGCGAAGAGACCTTCGAAGAACGCTACGACTTCCTCCAAAAGACGTTCGGCCAGGACGGTACTCATACGACAGACCAGATTTCCGTCGTCTACCACGAAGTCGCGAAAAGCCGCCAGCATGTCCTGGAAAAGCTCAAGGAGATTGAGAGCATCGGTGGCGAGGGCTTGATGTTGAGGAAACCTCAATCGTATGTTATCGATCCTCGTCGATCCTCATTGATACTGGCTCATTTCTTTTCCTTATCTTCCTTCTTCCTCGACATTTAGCAAATACGAAGGCAGACGCTCCGGAAGTCTGCTCAAATTGAAGACCTTCTATGACGCAGAGGCCATCGTCACTGGATATGCCCCAGGTAAAGGCCGCAACAAAGGTATTACCGGCGCCTTGAGCTGCAAGATGGAGTCAGGAAAGGTGCGTCCTGCGTCCCGAATTATTTACGCCGTCTTCCATCCACCGGCCTGACGTCTGACGTTGGTTCTTGTTCTCCTTTTCTTTGCCTTGGTTCAGCTATTCAACGTGGGCTCTGGCCTTACCGACAAACTCCGCAAGGACCCACCTAAAATTGGGACGATTATCACGTACCGCTTCCAGGAGCTGACGAGGGATGGAGTACCCCGGTATGGCTTTGTTTCCGCAATTCGGTTTTTCCGTAGTGCTCATCGTTCCATGTGCAACACTTTAGCTTCCCGTCTTTCGTCGGTGTTGCGATTGATAAAGACGCCCCAAAGGACGCCGAGATACCCGAACACCGCAAGGTGGAGAAGGCGGATGCATAAATGCCTCGTCTTCATCTTGTTCCTCCCCTCCTCCTCGCTCTTTGCCATCCATCGGGCTGCATATCAGCCATTGTCCGTTGTGTCCTCCCTACGGCGAGTCGCGTACATACCCCCTCCTTTGTCCTTTCCTTAGCCTACTCGTCCCGCCGTCGATCTTTCTCGCCTATTTTATTCACGTCTTAAGACCTGAAGGCCTGAACGGCCGTCTACTCATATTTTGTGGCTATCTCTATCTTCCTTCTAATGTGCCCAAACGTATGGTACTCGCACTGCCGGTTGCCACCTTGTTATTTATTCGCTATGTCCCCGTATATTTAGTACTCGGTCATGGAATATATTAGAACCTGCTGGTCTGTATAGAAGGGCAGGCCCGTCACTCCGGCCTCAACTTCAGTGAAGGATAAGCACCTTGAAAGTCGGATATGTGCCCAGTGCGTGGGAAGGACGGGAACAACAAGCTGTCGTCCACTTCTCGCTTCCAACCCATCATGACCCCCACTAGACTCCATCTCCTTCGACGTTCAAATCTGAATTTTCATGCCCAGTATCCATTCAAGTCTCGCAGCATCTCCACTGCGAACTCATGATATTCTCTGAGACCCAATGCCGGGTTTGCTGGACGACACTGCGACGAATTTATTACCCCCGCCCAATGACGGGCATGAAAAACCAGCGTACACCGAGCGTCATCCACGTCTGGCATCCAGGTAGATTTTCACCGTATTATATACCCTGCGCGCCCATCATTCTGAAATCCTTACTCTCAGTGAGCAGGCCCACGAAGCGTCCGTCTACTTCCAGTTCGCTCAAGCGCGAAGAACACCAGCTGTTTCTATTCCGCTCCATTAGCCCGTCAGGGTGGAAATCAACGTTCATACAAGCCTCTCGCCCACTTTATGAGGCTCATCGTCGCACGAAGGTGGAATGTTCGTGGGTGGGTCATGTAGGATCACCGTGGTAGGCCCTCCCTCCCATCAACCCCAGACTTAAATAATTCCAACGCTGTCCTCTCAAGCGGACAAATTGAATTCCTCTCTTAAATTGGCTGCCTCTATCCAATTCTTCGACAGTAGTCCTATCTCAGTCAAGCTTGTCGACGCCTTCCTGGCTCGCGTGGTATTGCGCCTTTCGTAAAGATCCCGAAAGCTGAAGACAATCCCGGAAACCAGAATCACTACCTCCTGGGTAACCCAGCACCGGACCCTCTCCGTTCAGGATGACGGACCGTCGTGGAACCACCAAGAACATCCTTTACATCCTTTACCCTAAAGCTGGATTTTGACCCTTGCATTAGGTACTATTGATTCCCCTAACTTTCCCGCTAGTGTACCGTGCTGATATTTCAGGTTCGAGTATAGCAGTGCCCGCTCGCCTGGAAGGTACAAGATGTAAGACTGGCAGCTAAGACGCAACAATGTGGTCAGACGATAAAGTCGAACAAGGCTTGAGTGACGGCATAACGTTTTTGGTCAACATACTATTATTATGGCCTCTGGGGTATAAGATGCGATGGTACGCCTTCTAGTTCCACACCCCCACCAAATTAACTTACCTCCTCGGAAACCTCGCCCACAGCAGCAGCACTTCGACCAGCATGAGCGCTACCATCAAGTCATTCTCCAGCCTTCCGACCAACGTCAAACTCGAAGTTACGCCGGCTCGGTTCGGCACTATCAACGCTCCTTATCCAATTGTCCCGAAATCTTAAGGCCTCATAAATACTTGGTGTTCAGGGCCTCGCCGAGATCGTTGCAGGGCGCGATGAGCTTGTTAATGTCCAAGAGCGCTCATGGAGCTTAAAGGTAAGTAAGCTATATCGTTGGCATCCCATCTCTTGCGACTTACTCGTCCTGCATCCAGACATCTTCAGTCTCAACTTCGATCCTGCCGGGAAAACAGCAACTGACGCAGCGAAGGAAGGACCTCGAGAAGGCCAGGCTTATCGTTGAGGAGCCCCGCGAAGCAGAGCGCGTCCTCGACTTCATCAATAGCACCTTGGCGAGCTCTAGCCACTGCAGAGAGGAATGAAGAGGACTATAGCCACCGCGCAACAGTCAGAGGTCCTTAATAGCATCTCTAGTTCGTATCGAAGGCAGCTTGAAGATTCTTGAGGAGCGCAAGAAGGTCGGTATCATAATCTTTCTGGGTGAATATATTCATTCAAAGTCTTCTGCAGTTTACAGCTCCGAGGCTTTCACTTCGAAGCAGAGGTAAATAGTCGTCGGCCGGAACGGAGTCGCCCGTGGGCTGATGTAGAGTACACTGCCTCATATTGAAACCTCCTACCCGTCATCCTTCGCGTACAAAGGCGTAAACAAGTTCGCAAAAAGTGAATTGGGAGGAATTTGATGACGTTTCCTAATACATGCTAGCTTTGATATTGCCAGTTAGGAACAAGATGCGATTGCTCGTCATGCCGTCTGTCGCTGCGATGCTCGACGTGAAATGCGTGCCTTCCCTTGGTGTCATGATCCACTGCGCCGCCTAACGTACGAGTATAATTCACCAAAAGCCCCATTCGTTCGCTGTCGCTTATAATCGATAGTAAAATCACTAGGAAACTTCGTACATATGCAACTTACTTTTAGGATCCTTCCTTTCATTTCGTATAAAAATTGTGCAATGCGCTGACTCAGCTGCAAATCTAACCCTCAGGAAACCCAGGCAATGTCATCGAACCGATTTCGTTGGCACTGTAAGACAAGAAGGGCCCTTAATCTTGTGCTCCACGGTGGTGAAACGTAAGAGATTAGCCATATGTGACAGTCAATATGCTCTATATATTTAATTTTGCTGTTAATGAGCATCATCCCAGGAACTGACATGCATCCACTTCCCTTGGGAGTACGTTTATGGCTCGTATCAACCCTAGAGAGAAGCGGGGGACATTGCAAAGGCGGGGGAAGACAGGAAGCGCCTATGGGTCCGAGTTATTTGCCCCTTTCTCATGCGGGTATATTGAGATTTTTCGTCGCTGTTTACTTCTCTGCGGCTCTTTACAGCTGCTCGAAAGAATATGAGGGCCCCCAGGAGGGCCAAGCGGCGAGAATTGAAGAATCAAGCTCAATTCCCGCGTAAAATCTGTTCATCCTCCGTACCAGCGGCGACACGCACCCAAAAGATAAATTTCTTCTGACTCTCCATTTGTACTCATTCCTCTCGCTTATTGGGATTCGTAACGGGTTTCAGCCTCTTCCTCGACGCGGCCGCGGTCCACATGCTCAAGTTCCCAAGTTTCATCTGTCTTTGCGAGCGCTGTGGCTCTATTTTATCTCTTGAACAATACCTCAACAATTTCTGAATATATCCATATCGGGCTCCGAACGGCCCAGTTCCTCTCAAAGTAATTGCAACCAAGGGAGCCAGCTGGCAGGATGAACGCTTCCCAGATAGGAATGGACAGAGCCATATTGGGCATGCGATCAATACTTCTCGCTTCATACGCGTTGCCCTTAAGGCGAGAAAACCATGTGGTGTTCATCCATATTGAGATCATTTCCTGAGATGTCTTACTCTAAATATTCCCTAGCCATTTACGTAGTTTGGCCAAACTATAAGCGTCTGGGAGTCGTGACAGTGGGTGCGTAAACTCTTGACCCCAGCGAGCATTAAAATCGAGTACTTTGGGAGCCAGACAGATATATTTACGCAGCCATAGATTTAACCCCAATCTCCCGAATTTCTCTTTGTTCAACCACGACCTGCTTAGTAGCACAATCCTCAATAAAAGGCGACAAGGGACATCCCGTCAATTGCCAGTAGAGGTTGCAAGGATTTCAACTGAATTATGGGCATGAATCGTACTCGGAGAATATTTTTAATCTAATTCTACAGTGTTCTAAGTGCTTGTGTAGGGTCCCGACAATGCCCACAACGGCAGACGTGGCTTCGATGGCAATCAGGGAAGATTCTGGACAGGAATTTGTGTGAGCTGTCATATAGCTTTTTCTATTCAAAACATGGGAGGACTACCTCGACGTCAATATTTCCTTCAGTGAACCGGACATCGGCGAAGATCTAGATTATAAAGCGAATTTAAGTGGATATTCGAAGTGAAGAAAGGCGATTCTGACCCAAGGGCTTTATCTTGCGCTTGGGCCAAGGGAGCAGCGCTAGGTTGCCTGTCGTCTGAGTGAGACTACCACAATCTATTCCTTCAGCTTGTTGTCTAACCGGCGAACGCTCTGCTGGTGTTTTCGAGGACGTCTTTGGCTTGATCGACTTTCTGAACGATCTGGCCCGTCGTCTCGGAGACGTAGACGATTGTGTCCGCTCAGCGAGCATTCCTGTAGATTCGAATATTCCAGATACGGTAGAGTCGAAAACGAGCCAAGAAATTCCACGTTATAGACGAGTTAGCGATGGCAGCGATGATGACTTAGTGGCCTGTTTCCGCAAGAACAGCGTCGATGGATTCGTCTTTCTCTGCGACGGATTTGACACACTCGTCGATCCAGACCGTCTGGTCCATATCAGAGGAAGGAAAGCAAAGACACTTACAGCTTGTTAAGCGATGACGCCCATTCGGACGAAGTTCTCTTCAGGCTCTGACTGCCCGTCTTGTGAGCCAGCGATTAGAAGGCCTACAACACGAGTTGAAGAATGGTAGAAGCTGTATTCTTTTAAGTCGAGGTAGTGGTCGAAATGCAACCCCCTTAGCCCTCAGGTGCCTCCCGACGCGGATACCCCTCAACAAAACCGTCCTGGCTTGCTAAGGGGTTGACAGGCAGTGCGAAGTGTCGCAATTTATTACTGCAAGACGTTGGGAGCCGGGAAAAGAGCTCAATCTTTCGGCGCCGTCAATACCTAGTGTTGGAATCGGGCAATCCGGCATTGTCCCGGATCTTCGAGTAGGCGCCCGTACATACTGGAATGGAGATTAGTCATCGTAGCACAGCTTCGTATAGGTATAGTATTTAGTAGACAGTTGTAGAACATACTAGATACAAAGTATGTACAGTATATAAGGACCTCTGTAGGAGGCCCAAATATTAAGTTCTTACTTCCACTGTGCCAACACCTAGGTCCCGAGTAAGATTTAGTCAAGAGAATGTAAAGATTCGTTCGGTCTCCAACTTGCTTTAATTGTAGCCGTTTCTCTACACCAACTGGTGCTAATTCACCTTCTACGAATCTGCGATGGGTTATCCAGGAGATTTTCTGCCTCCGATGGGGTTCTTCGACCACAGAATGGGGTATTAGAAGAAGCCAGAAAAATCGCAGGTGGAGGTCCAGAGAAAGAACTCGGCAGCCGTCGGGCCGGCCAAAGTCATTACCTAATTTATTGATCTTTGACCATCACGAGACCCTGCAACGCGTCATTGACTCTTCCCACAATCTTTCGGATTCCTTCCCCCAACCCCTCCTCTCCTTGCCTCTTCTAACTCTACGGTCTATGGGTCGTGGTAACTTATACTCGCGTCTGAATTCAATTTGAAGCCGCAGCCTTTCGGAGGAGAGTTCCGCTCTATGCCTCCTTGTCCGAGTGCGATCCCTGAATGGCTACGCAGCAAAATTTTCAAGTTCGTGTCTCTCTGGCCACGGAGCGTTTAATGCTCTGCAGGAAGGGAGTTTTTAACTTTTGGCTCAGAACTCTCAAGAAGTTTCCTTACAATCCGCAGTCCTTTATATACCCGCTATTCGGAAGTCGTATGGTGCGTGTCGCGTCTTTCTTTCTTCACGATTTTCTCATGGTCCTGTGTTTACGCCTATAGTCAGAAGTAATGACGGTCAACTCTCCTGGAAGGCGTTCGCGATTGTTTTGACGCACATTTCAGACCCCAAACGCAGCTTACGAATTATCATTCGCGCTGTCGATTCACTTCACTCCGCGCCTCCTCCGACTATAACTTTCAGGAACTGAACAATTATCCGGAAACCGAGTGGATGCTTGCCACCCTCCTTGCCGCACTCTGCCACGATTCTCCTGAAGTTTCATGCCTAGGGCTGCTTTAACGCCCCACGGACTACTCGATAGTTCGACTCGCACGCCCGCCTTCTTGTGTGCCGGATCCTTGGACTCAAATTATGCCCCAGAGCCTCACGTATATCAGCTAGAATACATGGGCATAAATTCAAGACCCGGACGGTTTATCTTGCAAAAAAATTACTCGCGCTCCTCTATGGTTCTTGTGAGCGGTTCACTTTCATGCATGTGTTTCTTGGGAACTCAGCAGAATTGGTCATTCTAGAGTGCCCCGACGCCCAGCGGAAACCATGCCGATGCCGCCGCCCGCGCGACGAGGGCGCATGGCGTGGATACGGGACCGTATGTCGCGCTTCTCGCAGAGCGCCTAATCTACTATTTTTCCGAGAAGTCCGGTGATATCATTATATGTGTTATCGTTTTCTAGAAGGGCCCCATGAAGTCACGATCCGGGGTCATCCCTTCTGGCTTCAGCTTCGGAAGCCATTGAATCGGTTTGTCAGACTGCATCGATATCTTCCACGGAGTCCGCAAGCTAGGACTTCTCCATTGCTTCTCGTGTCGGCGATACTGTTGGTCCCGTCTTACAGCCCCATGGCTCCTATCTTCGACATCCTCGACTTCTCCAAATCGCGATGGCGAATCCTACTCAACTTGCAAGTGCGACGTCGGGCGACGAGAGGCTTCTTGTACTCGAAAAGGAAAGTTGAACGACAATCTTTTACCTCAGAACTTGCACTTCGTACACAAGGTCCCGGCGACTAAATGCAGCCGGACAGGTTCCAATTGTCAGTTGGTCGTCTATGACAGTGACGCCGACTGTTGACACACGGCGACTCTTACATAGCGTCAACACCCACCTCTGACAGCATCTGTTTGTCCCGGTTCTGATGTTTTATGGTCCGAGTCTTTCTTCCTCATGATCAACCACCTGTGTGAGTTCACCGCTTCACGTTCTGTTCGCTGAATTCGAAGGCTAATTTCTGGGCCTACTCAAGCACATACGCTGGCCCAGCACACGCACGAGCTTTGTTCTACAATAAGCAAGTCAAGTCCTCGTTCGAAGCTTGAATTTGATCACCGCTCGACCTACTGTTTGCCATGATCATGATCGTTGACGTTGTGAGGTTTTAGTGGTTGGGCGTTTGTCCGTGCGAATGATGCATGGTCGGGCCTGTTTTCGGTTTGCGAATGCTGCTATTCCTGTTACTCGGAAGTTGGAGTACCTTTTCCGTGCGCTGTGGCACCACAACGTAAAGTTATGCCGTTGTTCGAGCCGTTATCCGTCCTCGATGCACGATTCGAGGCATCCAACTACGCCCATTGAACGAAAATTAGCGCATCACGACACCGAATTCTGGGGACCCTCTTCATACGCCAATGCACCCCAATCCGCACCTCTCCGTCCACAAAACCACACTTCTCTCCATCTAATTGGGCGATCTCGTACCTGGCCGCCATACCTCTTTGGCCAACCGTTTTTACAGTGTGGACTCCAACCCCGGAATCTATGGAGCGCAATAAGTCCCGAGACATCTTCCATAAATCATCGTGGTCGCAAGTCACGATGTAGACTTGCAAGTGGGTGGGTCTATCTTTATCCCAATCTCAATTGTTTTTCTATTTTTCCTTTCGTTCTTTCTTTGGCGCGCGAGGCGCGTCTGGTGGACGGGGAAGCCAATCGAATGGATCCTTCTTGTCCCCGGTCGCTCCGAGCACGTTGCCTGCTTACCGCTGACTGGCGCGACAAGGATAAGCGGCTGCGAAGGGGACGTCCCTATTCGCTTGTCCCTTTGTCACTGTGATAAGATGGGATGTGGCTGCAGCAGTCGACATTCCAACGACGACCTTGTCTTCTTTGCACAATCACCTACCCCAGGAAGAGAGCAGAAGGCAACGCGACGATTGTCTCATCGGTCTTTGAACGCCGGCAGATGCTAGGATAGCATTAGATAGACGTCGGAGGCTCCATGGCAGATCTTCTTCTCGACCTCCGTCGCTGAGCTAAACGCTGTTCCAGCCTACTAGTCACCTAGTCAACTTGTCACCATTTGTACAACGGCATGGAGTGAAACCTAATGACAGAACCGTACCATAACTTTCCAGGATATCACCGCGCACGCCCGCCATGACCACCGTGCGCCGGGTGCAGTCAGCGTAAATCTGGAGGGAATAAGTCCAGCTATTTCAAGTTCCACTCCGAAGAAGCAAATCTCAAGTCGTAGAACCCACAATAGCATAGAAAAAAAAACGCTACTGCAGAAGCGCAGCAGCAACGAGGACGTCGACATCTGTCCTACCCATGACATATGTTCAAAGCCAAAACACTATTCAATTAGCCAACACGAACGCATACGCCATACGTATTACGCGCGGTCTCGACCGCCCATGCTTCGCGAACATAATCATCATCCCACAACGAATCTCTGGGGCAATCTATCCAAATCCTCTCCAAATTTCGACGCTCTTACCGGAATCCTCACTCGGTGTCAGAAACGAGGAACGGCATCATGATTCACGGATTCACGCGAGCGTCGTCGTCGTTCCCCCATCGCTTGCCTCACGGGGGTGCTCGCGTCCAGACGCCAAATAGCGAATAGCAAACGATGCACATCTATAGATAGATGGGATGATTAGGCGAGATCACCAAGATCTTTTCCTCGAGAGGTACCGCACATTTTCATCGCGCAAGCCCTTACCAAGAGATTAATTACGACCCTGTTTGTGCTCATTTCCTGCTTCTGTGTATCTGCTTCCGCTGGGCCCAGCAGGGACGGCGCGTCCGATGCTTGAGATTTCGAAGGCAGCGAACAGCACCCGGGGGTGCGAATTCCCTCTCTTGGAGCGAGGAAAAACGCGACAGCGAGAAAGAAGGGATGAAACGCGCACACAAAAAATGCGCAGGCGATTTGTGTATGAGGAAATCCCTAACCCAGGTCCCAGAACCCAAGTGCCTCGCTCGCTGAGTCCGTACGATATCTCCACCGTTCGGAAATGAGAGAGAGCAATCGCAAGAAGGGGGAATGAAAATCGGATATGACGCTGTCGATGTCAAAGTCATCGACGTACGTCCAACGAGTCGATCCATACAAGCAGGAGCAGGTAGGGTCCCTCGTCCGATCATATCACAGGAAGTAGTCCGCAGGAGGACGTTTCGCGGGTATTGATTTTACGTCCTGAAAGCGAGGAGGAATTTTTTAGCCGAAGAGGTTTCGTTGTTTACGGAAAGGAAGCATAGATAAGATTAGGAAAAGGAAAACATTTCCCGGGAATGTCAACGCGCACGCCAACGCCAACCATTCATAATTCGAAAGATGGACATCGACGCGTCGACACGACTTCCATGATCATATGAAGGTCATATGAAGGCCATGACAGCGACTCGGCGCCGCGCAGGTAACACAACATTGCCATAAAAAAGAAAAAGAAAAAGAACAGTACAACGACAGGGGGTAGGGGTGAGAGAGAGTGACTTACAACGGTCGCATGCGAGAAAACCTTGTATTCCTGCGCCAGATGCTCGTCGAGTTCCAGAATCGAAGCCACATTTCCACATCTATAACGAGGCCAAACAAGCAAAGAAAAACGGTATAACAGATCAGCAAATCTATTCATTCACTGTGCATCCATTACGCGGAAGAAAAGGAAGTCGCTGCGACGGAAAGAAGGAAGAGCAAGGGCGTTTCTTTGGAAATTGAGGTAGGACGGACATTTGAAAATCCCAGATCGCCATCGTCATGAATAATATGAACGAAGAGATGAAGAGACAACGACGAAATGGGAGGAGCGGAAGCGATCGACGGAACCACGGCCTCGAAAGAGCGAATCACGCTCCATTGCAAATGCGAAAGAAAATGCAGAACTACAGAACCACCACAAGCCGGACACATGTCCTGTCTGCTGCCCAAAAAGGCCCCATCACACACACGGGCGGCGCCAAAGGACGTAAAAAAGCACAACAGAAATGGCACGCAGTTGAAACGAACTCGCCTCCCTCGATAGAACAGCGGAGGGGTAGTTTGATTCCAAAGCAAGCAAGGTTTGGAGGAAAGGGAACGCACCGATAGCAGTAATTCGGGGCACTCCAGACGGTGACGATCGTCTGATCAAACATGAGCTTGAAGCCCTCCATGGCGAGCTGATGGGCTCGCGCGATGAGGTCAATCGCGTTGTTGTGCGCGAACGCTTTCGTAATGTCGGCTCCAAAGAGAAAGCCGGCGCCGCGAGGCGAGAGGCCCCAGCCTTGGATGTCTGTTCGGCAAATAATGATAATTGGGTGAGCGAAAGAACTTGGACGAAGACTAGGTCGGAAACGACAAAGTGTACAGGCAATGTACGATGTACGCCTTTGACGGTAATGATGAGGAAAGCTTACCATCAGGATCAGACCATAGGAGGTCGCACATTGGCCCGTCGTGGGGTACCTCCTGTTTACGGTCGATAGCACGGATCTACCAAAGAGGGTAAATCAGCATTCATTCCACTATCATCCGCTGACAGTCGAGATCATCGCATGCGCTGGGCAGTTGACCCAGCTGACCACTCGTCGTCCAGGAATGGGCAGAGGAGACGGAAAGGAGAAGGCGAAAAAGCGGGGACCAGACAACCAACGACAACGAACGGTTGCTTCGGAGCCGCAACCCAGAACCAAAGCCAGAGCCAGAGCCAGAGCACGTCTCCTCACCTGATCAATACTCCCCAAATTCGGGCTCAAGCCCCCATGCACGCAAAACACCCTCCCATCCACGATCGCGCCGAGCGCAAGGTAGTCAAACACCTCGCAGCACCACCGCCACACATTGCTGCTCCCGTACTTGCGCTGGCACTCGTCGTAGAACCCGTACACCTGCGTGATCTGGCGCGACTCGTGGTTCCCCCGGATGAGCGTGATGCGCTCCGGGTACCGCACCTTCAGCGCGAGCAGGAGGAGGAAGGTCTCGACGCTGTAGAACCCCCGATCGACGAAGTCGCCTGGGGGAAAGGGGAAAGGAGGGGATTTTAGTGGATTGGATTGGTAATAGAGTAATTGAGTAGGATGAATGTATAATGAAATGAATGGATGAATGAAGGAGACCTTCGGCGAATGGTGAGTGGATGACGGGCGGATGGTGCGAGAAGAGACGCTTGCGGAGAGAGGGGTGGGAGGAAGGAAGGAGAGGACAAGAGAGGAAAGGGGGCGGAGCGAAGGTAACGGTGGAAAACGTCTTTTGGAAAAGCCTTCCGACGACTCACCCATGAAAAGATAGTTCGTCTCTGGACAGAAGCCTCCCATCTTGAACAACTCCATTAGATCGAAAAATTGCCCATGGATGTCTCCACAGATCTACATCCATCCCACAGCGGTCCCCGATGGGCGTTGGTGATTTGAGAAGTTGGATTTGGGCACCGATGGTTAGATTTGGATTTAGGTTTTCGTTTCGTTTCGTTTCGGTCGCAAGCCACATTTGCAGTCGCCATACGCCGTTGGTTGCGCGATGCATGTTCGGGTTCGGGTTTCGGGTTCGGAGCACGATATGGCAAGGGCATGGCATGGTAAGATGACAGTCGAGTACGCGTCAGCTCCACGTCCTCTCATGAATGGCAACCAAAAAGCTACGTACCGTAACAGGCGAGTCCACAACCTGGACGTTCCCCTCCTCGATGAGGATCTCGCGTGCCTTGAGACAGAGCCGCTTGACCTGTTCCTCCGAGATGGGCTCGCACCGCGTCAGCTGCTCTATCTGTCTGAAACAAGCATAAATTAGCATTCATTGGAAAGCGAAGGCGGTACGATCGGTCAAGGAACACAGAAAGAACGCGCCGAACAGAACAGAAACAGAACAAAAACACGTCCCAAGGGTCGTTCGAAATCGAAGTGAAGCGGGACATGATATTTTCCGTCAACGAAAAAAAGTTGAATCTTCGTCGACACGACATGCACGATACGCCCCAAGTTCCAACTGAATTTAATCGTACTCACTTATCGAGATCACTGGGCATTTCTACGCGTCTTTTCACCGAATAATCTTGAGATGTTCGAGATGCACTTGGAAGAAGAAGCGTCGGTGAAGTGAGTGGGGACGGAGAGCGGGGAAGAAGGCGGTGGTGAGCGGATGAGAAGGCGGTGGAGAGCGGACCAGAAGGCGGGTCGGCGGTGATGACGATGACGATGACGATGGTGATGGTACAAGGGAAAAGTCGAAGAGCTCAGATAAAGTTCGCGCCCGCGCGTGACGTACCCTTCCTTCTCCGCTATGAGTTCACGGTCACCAACTCCGCACCTTCTATTCGATTCTGTTCGATTTCGCGTCGATCAACCCTCATTCAAGTTCACTTGATATCACCATCTCCCATCTCCCATCTCCCTTCTCTCGAGTCACTCCAAAAGTCCTCGATATCCCAGAATTGATAATAAAATGCCAACAATGGTATAAAATCCGCGGGAACGTTCCAATGTTATACTTATATATATAGAATCTTTTACATGTTGCAGTAAGTACGTAGAGTATAGTGGCAAGTAGGTAGTTGGTCGAAAGCATGAGACGGTGATAACAGCTGGGTTGTGGTGGTGGTGGTGGCTTTTCGGTGGTAGATGGTACACATACAATAGAGGCGTAGGATGAGAATGAAGAAGAGAACAGGAAAATGTAGTAAGTAGCAAGGAAACAAGGAACTTAACAAGCAACGCCAGACCCAGAACGTGAAATCTATGGCACACAATGTGAAAGATGGACTGCAGAATAGAACATGAACATGACTCGGCGAAGATGAGCAGAACAACAACAACAACAACAACGAGAAGAGAACGGAACATCCGACCAACACGAACATCCGAACAACACGAAGAGAAGACAAGACAAGACCAGTCTGAGTTAGAAGTTACACAAGCGCCCCGACGCCCTTGCGCAGCCCGCTCTCCGCCTTCCACGCACCATGACCAAGCGCCATCGTCTGATGGTACGAATACTCCGTCGGGAGCGGCTGTGGGTGGTGGATGTAGGGCGACGGCGCCGCGTGGTGGTGCTGGTGGTGGTGTTGGGCCTGCTGCTGCTGCTGCTGCTGCTGGTGATGTTGCTGCTGCTGCTGTTGGTGGTGGTGTTGGTGGTGATGTTGGGCCTGTTGGGCCTGCTGTTGCTGATGCTGCTGCTGTTGAGCATGATGCCTCGCCTCCTCCCTCCGCACCAACCTCTCATCCTGGATCGGCGCCAAGATCGGCGGCGGCGACTCGAACCTCCCAGCCGTGCCATACCCATTATGCTGCTGCACAAGATGATGCGCGCCCAACCCCGCATGCTCCGCCCCCGTACCCGCTGCGCCCATCATCCCCCCCACGCCCGCCCCCGCGGCGTGGTGGTACGCCGAGGCGACGGAGGCGGCGTCCTCATGGAAGACGGGGTACGTCGGCGTCGGGGGCCCAGAGGTGTGCGACGACACGGAGTGCGAGGAGGCAGGCGAGGGCGGGCTCGCACACCCGTTCGAGTGCTGGCTCTGTGCGTAGGACGACTGGGGGTGCGAGATGTGTGAGATGGAGTGGCGCGAGGTGATGGATACGGGCGAGTTGTCCCTTTGCTGTTGTTGCATAGCGTACCCATCATGCGACCCCGCATACGCCGTATACGACGGCCCCCCACCTCCTCCATTCGTCGGGCTGCCCGCACCGTTCACAGGGGTGGTATGCACATACGTGAACCCCGCGCCCTGCGACTGCTCCTGGTACGTCGTCGTCCCACTCCTATACGCATACCCCTGGCCGGTCGGGCTGGCCAGATTTAGGGCCTGCTGCTGCTGCTGCTGCGATGACATCGGGAGACCCCCGTTCGACGTGTACCCGAGCTCGGGCGAGGAAGGAGGAGGACCGGCCGGACGCAGAGGCGGGCTCGAGGCGGGGGGTGGATAGGGCGAGTGTGGCGGTGGCGGGGAGTGTGGCTTGTGCGAGGGGCGGGGGCGAGTCGGGGGGTGTTGAGTGGTGGCTGTAAGCGCGGGCGGGCTCCAGTGCGGGTGGCGAGGACAGGGGCGGGGGCGCTGAGGGTGGCTCGGAGGCTGCTGCTGTCGTCTGTGTCTGCGTTTGCGAGTTGTTCGCAGCAGCGCGCTTCGCCCGGGATGAACGAGCAGAACTTCGTCGAGAGCCCGGGGAGAGGTGGATACGATAGCTACACCATCATCAAAATTAACACCACCCACTCTGTGCGGGGTAAAAAAAGCACTCACTGTTGCTGGAGGTTATCCTGCCGCGAACAGCGCGTCTCGCAGCCGGGGAAGGGGCACTTGTGGTTCCGCTCGCCGGTGTGCACCCTGGAGTGGCGCGCGAGGTGCCCGCTGGTCGTAAACGCGCGCTCGCAGGTCGTGCAGACGTGCTTCTTCTTCGCAGCGGGCGACGTCGATGAGGAGTTGGTGGACTGGGCGCTCTGTGCGGGGGACGCGGGGGACATGGGCGGGGACGAGGACGCCGTGGACTCTGTGGCGGACGGCAGGTACTGGGAGTTGGAGAACTGGGAGTGGTAGAAGTGGGTGCCGAGGTGCTGCTGCTTCGACTCGGCGCGAGGCATTGCTGAGGGAGGATAGGGAGGGTACTTGGGCAGGAATCGAGCGGCTGGAAATAGCGGAGAGTTAAAGGGCGAGGAGACGAGCGAGAGTCTTGGCCAAGGACAGTCCATGTGAATCGCGATTGCTCAGAGGCTCAGTTTAGACTCGCGCCAGTCTCCCGGGCCCCGTGCCTCGATTGGGAACATACAAAATAAAAAAACGCGATCATCAGGTGCCCTCTTTCACTTGCTGCCTTTTCGGGCGCCAATCCGTGTCCATCGAAGTCCCCAAATTTGAGGCACGTGGCAACCGCCAGTCGTATCTTCTCCCTCCGCAGACATGTTCATCACCACCCACTCGCAGCATCGCTGCTGCCTCACCTCGCCCAGCCCAGCGCACAGACCTACACACCGGCCGGCCTTCCAACCAGGCACACGCACACCCCAAACACGTAAAAAATATTCCGCTCTCCTGTCGGGGGAAATGTTGCAATTGATTTGATGATGCGAATTTATGGGCTTGACCGCGCCCCCAATTGATGATCCAATCCATCCCGTTTCGGGCGATCCTGAGCCTGTGCTCCAGAACCAGAACCAGAATCAGATCTCGCATCTCTAGATCTCCCAATCTCTCCGACCAGTCCCTACTTCCAGATAAAGATAGCTCGCTCGAGCCGTATGCGGCAGCTGCAGGACAAGTCCGATCATTTTTTCGCCAGAGCGAGCGAGCTTCGATCTATTCATTCAGCAGTGACCTGATAATTTACCTCTTTTGCCATCAGGAGGTCCTATTTCGACCGGTTTTTTTTCTCTGGTGTCTTCTTCCTACCGCTAGCCTGTGCTCTGGCTGGCGCACACGGCTCCGACACTCACCACTACGGTTGGATAAACCGAGCGCATTCGAACGAATATACGGCTGCGCCGTCCGGGGACTGCGATATGAGATTCATCGCATAGCAGTCCGTATTGCTCATTTCGCCTCATCGCTCCTAGTCTGTATTTCTCTCACTTGCTCTCCCATTTCTGTCTCTCTCCTCTCTCTCTAAATGCTCGTTCACCCACTACGCTCACACCCGCTCTGCACGGCCCATTCTTCCAGGCTGCTGGAACTTGCAAAGCGGGGATATGTAGGCGCCCTGATGGAATTATTGATATTGAGAGCGAACTTCGACCGCTCCCAGCCTCTTCCTCCGGAAGAGGAAATATGCAGGGCTTCAGCCATGTCTCGGGACTAATCTTTGCTGTCAAGGACTGGGGCGGGGCGGGGCACTTTGCGCCATCCTAGCGAAGCGCGTTAGCACGACGAATCGATCGTCTTTCGCCAGGCTGCAGTAAGTAGTGAACGGTTGCATTGGGTGGGCAAACGCGCCATGGGACGCGGACGGGACAGAAGAGCACCCTCATTCTTTGCTCGAATTTATTTCCATTTATTGGAACGCCGTTTACTTACTGCAGGTGAGCCAAAGTATCTTGATTGCAATTGGTCGACGACAACGTCGACGGGTACTTTCGACTGGTCCTTCCAAAGCCCCGAACTCTCGAACACATGCTCGTCGCCGGACCTCATGAGCGCCGCCCACCGTAGGCGTACCACAGATGAAATACAGCCTCTGTTACTCAGAGAGGCGGAGAGTCAGCCGTCCGAGCCGACCGTTCCCTGTCAAATGCGGACCAAAATAAACCACTACGACGCCGACGAGTAGAGGTACAGCCGGTAAGTACTCGAACAATTCGCGACCTCACTATTCTGAGCCCAAGCCCCTAGGCACGCGTTGTTCCAGGCTGCCTCATGCGCACCACCCACAGTACGCGTACCACAGACTCGGTGTAATACTCAGTCATCGATTCTCAGAGACAAGGGGACAGCAAGTTGGCCGTCCGAGCGCAATAAGCCTCAAGGCTACGAAATTCTCTCTGATTTTCATGCCATCTATTCCCCCACTTTCTGTTCGGAGAACTCGGCGTGGGCGGGGCACTTGCGCAATCTTTGAGAAGCGCTCACTGGTGTGGCGAAGCGCAGAGTATACATAAATAGTCGACTCTCCTGGTAGGCTACTGGACAAGTGTGTCAGTCTCCAGAGCATCGTTTTCGGTCGGATTTGTTTCCGTTTACCGCAGGTATCTCTATTGGTCAATTTACGATTTCTGATTATTCTGAATTCTTGCCCCGAAGGCTCAAGCGCGCCTCGTTCCAGGGCGTCTCATGCGCACCACCCATCGTAAGTACGTGGACCGCAGATGCAGTCACGACTCGCTGTTACTCAGAGAGTCGGCTTTCCAAGCCCCCTCGAACGTGGAACCAGAAGGAAATACTACGACGCCGACGAGTAGAAGTAGAGTAGGTAAGTACTTGCAAGGCACTCGTACTCGGACAATTCGCGACGTCTGATTCCTCGCTATTATGTGCGAAAGCTCCGAAGCACGCGTTCTTTCAGGGTGCCTCATGCCCGCACGCGTATCGCAGACCGTACAATTACGGTTACTCAGAGACAAGGACGATACACGGCGAGTTATCCGTCCGAGCGCACGTCGAACAAAAGAAAAAAACACTAGTACGCTGACGAGTAGACGTATAGGACTACGTATAGGGGCACGCTACGCTATGATAACGCAGGTAAGCACTAGTGGAAATGAAAATGAACGCGCCACACAGCATCAGGTGATCCTCTTCTGACGGTGACGACTGAAGTAACTGACGGCGGGGGCCGAGGCGAGGCACACGAGTAGCGGGGAACGCCGTCTGTCTAGCAGTCTGGTCAATCACCAAAACCGTCATTTATTATCATCGTATTCGTCAAACGGTCACCGTCAGTCGTCAGTCGTGATGGGGTTAAACCCACCACCATCATCATCATTTATAATGGAACGGATTTTCTTCTTCTTTCTTCTTCGTTATCTAGTCCTCTCAAAGGCCCCTACGGCACATTGGCGCCGAGCTGGAGCGTCCTAGGTATATCGACCAAGATCCAGTGCAGGACGTGCTCTACATGTGCATATGTGCGTTTGGCGACGCTGCCGCCGTCGACGTTGGACCGCGAGCGCGTCGCCCCGCCAGGCCAGGCCACGTCGGGCTCGGACACAATGCGCCGCTAAATGCAATACACTCGCACTCGAGCCATTCGACATCAACTGAACATCGCTTCATGGCGCTGGCACGAGCGCGTAGCGCGGAGTGGGGTGCGCGATCGAAACACTTCCAAGTTCTTCTTCCGGCCAAGCGACCGAAGCGTGATCAAAAAATAATTTATCCCATTTCCTCTACATAGATTTCCCACTTCTTAACCCAATCCGACAGACCGGCACGGTGTACAGACCAAAAACGATCGTAAAGCCGACGCCGACCTAAAAAGTCGCGAAAGGCCCCAGCGCATAACCCACCTCGTTCACCGCAGGTGCCATAGGTTTATGTAAAAAAGACGCCCCGGTCCAGCACGTATTCCACGCCAGGCCGCTCGAGGTGCGGCTTCGACGCGTTCAGAATTTTAGAAGGCGCGTTCGGGTGCACAGCCCAACCCACGCCGGGTCCGAGTGCGCTTCCAACTTCCAACTTCGCAGCCGTAAATCCCTGATCATGATGCGCCCGAAAAGGCGGGAAGGGGGGATTGACGCGCACTGCACAGTGATAAGCTCAGCCGCTGAGCTACATACATACCCCGCCCGTTCGCCCAGGACCCAGGATCATCGCGATGCCTCAGGGTACTGGCACAGGGTGCAGATGCACGAAAAAAATCAAGCCCCAGGAACGGCGTGCTTATGAGGTGGCTGTGCTGCTTGAGGGTTGCGCTGTTCCAGCCTGCAGGCCTGCATGAGACGCATTTGGTGCGAGTGAGTGATGGGACCGGATGATGACGAAGGAGGAAGGAAAGACACACGCAGCCTGGCGTAGCGTAACATAAGCGCAAGGAAGCCGACGGTAAGTCGACATGGAGGCAAAACGGCTCGTAATCAAGGGACGCGTGAGGAAAGGCCAGGGTTCGTGCGCAAGTTCGCGACGAATAGGACGCGCGCTATCCATAGCGCTGGGAACCTTGAGCACCTACGCCCACGGAGTGGGTATCGAGAGGTGTATGGAGGTGTATGTTCTCAATTCCCTCCCTCCGGCACCTATCCAAACTTCAGCTTCGAGGGATGGAAGGCCCGTTGAAATCGCTACCCTGAATCCTGGCAATTGGGCGAAGGCTGCGAGAGAGCGCGCATCTTGAGCCCCCTTCGTATAGATTCGACTTGATGTCCTCGGGGCGGCGGGAGAGGGGCGTCTTCCAAGAGACTATGTTCCCATCGCGCCGTTCTTGACGGTGGAAAAGGATGTATTCTGGATGGGTCGCGGAGGGGAGTGGGTTCAGATTTCCAATGTCGACCCACCACTATCTCGGGAGTACGTCCCGAAAGCCCCGAAAGCCCTTCTCTCCCCTCAGCCACCGACTCTTGAGGAATTCATTTGGCGTATCTCATCTTCCCATGTCACGACGAATTGAAAGGGGGGACCCCGCTGGCGTTGAGTGTGCGAAAGACCCTGGATGTCGGATCGCCAAGGGCATCAATTATTCGATCGCACGCCAAAGACGGATGTGATGGGCGTTGTGTGTGGCGACTCGCGAGGGGGGACGCGCTGTGATCAGAAACGCGCACGTAAAACACTCTTCAGTATATGTCGAGGTTAAGCAACAGCCTGCTTTTGGGTCTTTTCAGGACGTTTTACTGACACACACATGATGGGGAGGAGAGATTGACGAGAACGAGCGTCACAACTGCCGGAAAGACGGCGAACGGCGAGTCAAGTGCCCAATGGCATCATGTTTTCTCAGACTGTCACCGTCGCTCGTTCAAGGACAAGTCCTGCAAAATCGGATGAAATGGCACGGTCGGTACCGCGAACATTGAATACATTGTCAAGGACATTATCTTTTGGATTGTACTTTACAACGATGATGGATCGCTATCATACAGCGCCTACAGCTCACCCTAGCTGACTATCCCTAGACATCGCTGCTCCCTGTACGGCCATTTCGAGCTCCAGAGCGTCCTCGAAATGGACATTCGCAAAGTTCCGCGAGCCTATGCAATTCGTCCATGGATCAAGACGCCGAGGGTTCAGAAGTGCCTCACCTGGGAGAATTAATGAACGCCGCTGGGACGGAGCATAGCTTACGAACAACCTTTGCGACTAGTGAACGGCTTTTCGGAACGGCCTGCCTGTGAACAGACCCTATCGAAGGCAGTTCGTCCACCAATGACAGGATAACATAACAAGACAGCTCTGGAGAAATCGGCTCGAAGCGCCAGAAGATTGCACCCTGTGAACTCATAGACCCTTTCCGAGGGGAATGGTGGCATGACGTGCGAAGGGAAGGGGGCGTAGGGAGATCATCAATAGAGATTTGTGCGGCTTTACTTGCGAGGAGCAGAGTAGAGATTGGTCCCTCCTGTGTCACCGCTCCGACGTTCGTGTCCTTCTCGTGGTGGATATACGACACGAAGCCTTGAACGTTCAAACGTTCACAGACTCCCGTTCGCAATTCGGACCGATCATCGACGACATTGGGAACCTCCCTCACCATCGGGAGTAGCGCCGACGACATCGAAACATCGACGCGCTATATTCAGCTTCGAGCTTCCCAGCGAGTGTTATTTCTAAGTGTTAGATCTCGGCGGAGGAGGCATCAGGTATCTTTTCTGCGACTGATGAATGGGAGAAAGGTAATAGAACATCAAGATGGAAAGCGAAATTTCTATGCAGCGCGAGTACTGCGCCTCTTCATCCTGTTCAGAACAATCGGAGTTCCAGGAAAGAAAGAAAGACATACTTCTAGGCAATCTCCGAAGAAACCGATCGCACACTGTGATAGAGGCTGTCTTCTATTAATTTGGAACATACCGCAAGGCGTAAACTGATTATGGTGGTCCACAGAGCGCGATGAGGTCGAAGATCAATGGTTGGAGAACGCTACCCGAGATGCTCTATGACAAGACCCTGACGATGTCGTACTCGCAAAATTCGCTGAACTCGAATTTCGGCACAACGAGACTAAACGACATCGCCGCGGTATAATTAAGCTTGCCTGGGAACGACAGCGGCTCCTCGAGAAACCTCGGTATTTTGTCTCCTCAAAAGCTTGTAGTGTGACCTTGATGATCTGTTATTAGAAACTTACCGCTTTGTCGGACTCGGAGGTTCTCTGGGTCTAATGCGCTCTAAACCCTCTTTCTACTCTTCATCCTGCTTCCCCCTCCCGCGTGTAAACGCTCGCCCAAGACCACATGTGGACCCAGGAAATGTGAAAGTCACTCACACGAAGGGAGTCCCCATTGTCCAAGAACTTTATCTAAGTACTCAAGAGCAGAGAACACGCATGAGAGATAACAAAATCAACCCGATGACTATGTTAGGAAGCCTACACCGTGTGGTGTTCTGCTGGCGATTGGCTGGACAAGCGCACACATCGTGGAGGACGCGTTCCAAGACAAAAAGATGCTCATTGGCGAACTATGATGTCTTCTATCCGGGCCGGACAAGCACTAGAAATACCCAGGAAGTCATTTTCCCACACTACCCTTGAACCCTCTCTCACCATGTTCTTCGAAAGGGCAAACGGAGACCCACTTTTACTGCAGCCAGTGAAAACCACGCAGAAATACCAGTTCAAATGGTTTCACATCCTCGTTGCGGCCCTCACTATTCTTGGACTCAAATTCCTGGTGATGCCCGCGCACGATGCGGTCTCCACCGTGTACTATTCGCGTCATCGGACCGTACAGAGGCGACAGGAGGGTGTCTGCCCTCAACCACAGCCTCCCGCGCAGGCTTCGAATATTTCTGCATTTGTGGATGCTCCTGGCTTCGCATCTGAGGCTGCGACACGGCTTGCTGGAGCCATCCAGATCCCCACCGTGTTATTTTCTGTCTTCTGATAATGTCATAACGATGGCATCTAACACGCCGTTTAGGACCTTTGATGACATGGGTCCAGCGGGCGAAGATGAACGCTGGGCCCCCTTCGAAGATTTACATGCCTATCTTCGGACGACTTTCCCAGCCGTGTGCGTTAGGGCTTTCGTTGCGTGCTGGGGTTCTGTATATCAGATACTGAACGTTCTGTTCTAGACATTCTGACCTGGAGCTGACGGTCATCGCGGGTTACTCTTTGGTCTATACTTGGCCCGGCTCCGTTGAGAACGCTGGACCGCTCATGCTTACTGGCCATCTCGACGTCGTCCCCGTGTCAGTCTGAGATATTTTCTGTCTCCCATGCTTGAGCCTGTTGGCCTTGAAACCGTTGCTGAATTTGCCAATTACTTTAGTACTGCGCTTGATCGCTGGACTTATCCTCCCTTCTCCGGCACCATCGACGAAGAGTGGATACACGGCCGTGGCGCTTGGGACTGCAAAAACAGCGTTATCGGTATCCTAACTGCAGTCGAGCACCTTATCACTATCGGCTGGAAACCACGCAGAACAATTAGTAAGTTTTGTGTCTTCTAAAATTCTTGGTGAATCAGGTGACAACAACCTTCGTTCAGTTCTCGCCTTCGGGCAGGACGAAGAGATCAGTGGACCGCGCGGAGCTGCCAATATTGGAAAGCATCTCGAAGCGCAGTATGGGAAACATGGAATAGCCTTGTTGGTGGACGAAGGAGGCTCAGGCCTGAACACCGTCTATGGCAGCCAGTTTGCGCTTCCTGGCGTCGCGGAAAAGGGATATATCGTGAGCCACGTTTTGCAATCGCGTGTTCTTGGCACCTTATTTCTCCGTGAAATCTACAGAACGTTGAGATCGATGTTGACATGGCGGGGGGCCAGTAAGTGACTCTATCCGTCATGATCAACAACCTCCGATATCATTGTCTAATCACTCGTTGCATCTATGTTCGTAATTATAGCTCGTCCGTCCCACCGGCACACACGAGTATCGGCATCTTATCCAAAATTGTCTCTGCGATAGAGTGAGAGCTTGTTTCTCCACGTTCCCGAGGACATGACCCTAATGCAGCGTTCAACGTTTTAGGGACGCTTCTGTCTTCCAGCCACATATCGAAATAACGAGCCCGATCTGGAGCTACCTTGAATGCGTAGCTAGGCACGGCGACGCCTCGCAGACGCCCTCTTGGATAACGGATGCCATATCATCTAGCAACCCAGATTTGAATGAGGTCGCCAACCGATTTGCAGAGACGTCTCTGGGTAACAGATACCTCGTTCAGACGTCGAAGGCCGCCACCATCTTTAATGCTGGCCTCAAGGTAAGTCTGATTAGCACCCCGTGCATGTTTCGAAACTTCAGGTCCCGAGTCAACAGAGCAACGCACTTGCAGAGAATGCCCATGCTTTGTTTAACACACGCATCGAAATCTTCAGTTCGCGTATGTCGTTGTTTTTCCTCTCTTTGCTTGCTTCGTGCTTCTGACAGCTCGACGTAAACTTACACCTGGCCTTGCACTGCCCCATCAGCACCTGAGGTCCAGGAGAGTTATTTCGGGCTAATTCAACCGATAGCGGAGGAATACTCTCTTCTTTTGAATGGGGACCGAGTCTCTGAGGGTGCGACGATCGGGAACATTACGATCGAGTGGAACAAGTCGATGAATCCCAGCCCAATCGCGCCTTCCACTATAGCCTCGGAGGGTTGGGATATCTTTTCGCGAGCTGTCCAAGCAACCTTTGGGGAAGAAGTCATCACTGCGCCAAGCGCGATGACTGGGAACACCGGTACGTCTAGAAGGCGTTGCAGATCTTCGAAGGCTGATTATTGGATCTTGACTCTGACAGACACGCGTCATTATGTGAGTACCGTTCACGTGTTCTTTTGGGTCTGAGAATTGACTTCCTTCGAATCACAGTGGAACCTGTAAGCATGCACACCCTCTTCTATTTGTGGCTATTACCCAGGAATTCAGGTCGGAAAACATTTATCGTTGGAGTCCCAACCGTGTCGGAACGACGTAAGCCACCGCCGCCAGTCATGTATGTAGTCCGTGAGCTCATCTTTGATTAGATTGGGCATTCATACTGTGGACGAGAGAATCAGTATGTATAATATCCTTTCGTTCGGTTCTCCGACGGCAGATATTAACACCCCCCCAAGAAATCGTTACCCACGTCGAGGGCATCAAGTTCTATACAGGTGCGCCGCCGCTGACCTCGCTCACATTACTTCGAGGCTTACCCGACCGTTTCATTAGAACTCATACTCCAGTCCGACGCCAGAGCCTAACGCTAGGTCAACTAAACATCTAATGAACTCTTACGACACCCATGCCCCTACCCTTGCTCCGATTGTCCTGTCGATCACTTCATTCAAGAAAATATATTGACTTCGAAGCGTCATATCGCCCATAAACCCATTTCGACTTCCCCAGACCCTGAGTCCTGCGTCACTCGGACTAAGGGCGAAGGATCACATGGAACATGGGATGCGCCCGCCCCGTCCTCCGAGTCCGACTCGGACCCCGACGCCGAACGCACGTCCCACCGATTCAGTAAATCATACTCTAATTGCTCGGGCTCGGACGACGAGATGATTGGCGGCTGATGGATTTGGTCAAGGGGGCCTACTTAAAGCCTAAACGCTTGTTAGATGACTCTATGAACGAACCCTGAGCGAACCTGAACAAATCAACAGGGTCTGGCGCGCAGGGCTCAGGCGTAATTAGGGATGAGCGCGTGCGTCCATGTGTGCCTGCGAAGGGCCCTCTTCTGACCTGAGCTTGAAATGGGAATTGAGGGCTACCGGCGGAGAGACGTGAATATTGCGTTGGGGGTTTCCCTCGGTTACCCGGTGGCCGTCTTGAGCGTCAACATCATGTCGAAATGTCAGATTAGCCCTGTAATATTTATTGATACCCCTTGAGGTTTATAATGAGCAGGTGTTCATGTTTCTGTGTTTATATCTTGTCATACATATGCTCGTCATAAGATCTGCACGTCTAGTGGGGTTCGTGACCGTGTTCCTGAGCGTTAGATGCGAACGAGTTGTCCGCGTCCTCCTCGCTGACGCTAGACCTCCTGAGCTCGTCCATTGCGTCTTCATATGTCTCCATCGAGTCTGAATGGCTTTCCCTCAACCCATCGTCATCAATATTGATCTCCTCCATCGCACCAGAGTCGCTCGTCGTCCGCGTCGTTTCCCCCGGCACCGGAGTCGCACCACCTTCGAAGCTGTCTCGCTGCGAAATTCCCTTTTCATCCTCCACCTTCCCATCATCGGTGACGGGAATCGTTAATTCCGACGACGCATCCAGCACGTCGCCTATCGGTTCCGACAACACTGGGTCCAGACCCAATCCCACCAACCGTGAGCCAGAAGACTTCCTGGGCCAATCCTCTCTCATCGCGTCTGGTTCGATAGCCGACAGCGGTTCCGGACCAATAGCAGACTCTTCCGCGAGTTTGGGCACGCCCACCGCACCATCGCCATCACCAAACACCTCCCCGAGTTCTTCGAGCGTGCGGCCGGCCGTTTCGGGGTAAACAAAGTAGACGAAGATGCCTGAGATGACGGCGAACCCGAGGAGGAGGAAGTAGTAGCCAGCACCGAGCACGGCGAAGAGGGGAGGGGTGATGAACGCGACGATGAAATTGGAGAGCCAGTTCGTGGCGGTGGAGAGCGCCATGCCCTTAGCACGAGCGCGCAGAGGGAAGATTTCAGCCCCAAGCAGCCATGGGATCGGACCCCAGGTCGCACCGAACAGGAAGAGGTAGATGCAGACACCTGTGCGAGTTGCTTTCAGGATGATCGCAATGGAATTTGACAATATAGACACACCAGCAAATATTCCATTGGCGACGGGCATACGCGCCGATCCCAGTGGCAACGTCTCCTCGTGGAATTGCAGTCCTCCGATAAGCGCCAGCGCACCCGCCAGACCCGCACTACCGAACAGCAAGAACGTCCTCCTGCCCCATTTGTCCACCCAAATCATTGTCGGCAGCGTCCCAGCACAATACACCAAAGCACAAGCACCAGAAAACAGGAGTGAATGGGGAATGTCGAATCCTGCACGTGTGAGGTTCTCTGGAAGGAAGTACAGGATCGCGTTGATCCCGTTAAACTGAGCGAAGAGTTGACAGGTGATCCCGACAGCGGCACGACGGGTGTACGTCCGAAAGAGTTCTACCCATGACGCCGTACCGAGGGCGGCTTCCAGTGCGATGGTGCGTTCGATCGAAGTGTACGTTTCGGTGACGCCGTCGTCGTACAGATCCCCATCAGCGTGCAGGTCAGCGAGGAGTGCGAGTCCTTCAGGCTTGAAGCCATGGCTGATCAACCACCGTGGCGTCTCTGGGAGTATGAACGTCCACAAAACCAAGATGCACGCCATGACCGCCTGCACGATGTAGGGCCCGCGCCACGAAATTTCAGAGGGCATAGCGAAGAAGAACCCGTAGCCGACCCACGCAGAGAGCGCATACCCGAGGTTTAAGCAGAGGTACTCTATCGAGACGAACAGCCCACGCCCGTGTCCTGGGGCGATCTCGCACTGGTAGATGGGAACCGTCATGGAGAGCATGCCGACGCCGAGACCTTGAATACACCGCCCGATGATGAGCGCGGTGATGTTAGGCATGAAGATTTGGATGAGGGACGCGATGAGGTAGAGCATCCCTCCGATGCGGATAGACATACGTCGGCCGAGGGCGTCGCAGATGTAGGCGGAGAAGTACGAGGAGAGGAGAGCCGTTAGATTAAGGCATGAGACGACGATGGCTGAGGAACTCGAGTCAGTTAAAGGAGTATGATTCACTCCAAGACAGCGGCACACCTTGCAAGAAAACGTTGACCCCTTCTTCCCCTCCCTGCACCTGGCTCAGAGTAACATCGCGGCCGTACATCCTCTTGATGAAGCTTGGTTGAACTTGCGCAGCAGCGATGATACCCTGGCTGTAGCCGAACATCGCGTCTCCCAGAGACGCCAGCGCCGAGGAGGAGTAGAGGAGAGGCCTGCCAACCATCCATCGAGGATAGCGGACGGTGTATGAAGTCTTCCTGAGGCTTTCCAACATCGCTCGGTGAAAAATGGGATGAAGGGGGAAGTTGCGATTGGCCTAGCAGAAAAGATTTAATCGCTCCTGATTTTGACCGATTGGCAAGTGTCCTGCCCGTTCAGGGACCTGTCACGATGGCACAGGCTGGGCTTGGTCGGAATAATGCAAGAGCATTTTTTTCTTCGTTTGAAACGGGCTCGGTCGCTAGCAAAACACATCAGAGGATAGGTGAAGATTCAAGAGCAAAAATTAACGACGTTGGTAGGAGGAAAAAGAGAGCCCCGGGTGGAGCTGACTCAAAGACAGTGGTCCAGGACTTCAAAGCTTCATGCATCATGACGTGGAGGTGGGAAGGAAAGGGGCTGTTACCGAAGCGGTGCTTCCGCAAAAACGAATTAGGGTTAGCTTACATAAGTAATGGACTTCTCTTGGGCGCTTAAACCTCCTCATTCTAGACGCCTGAAACGAGAATAGAGGCATAAATCCCATCCGAGCTTATTATCCTTCCTTTACAATCATGAATACCCGCCCTGGGAATGCCCTTCAAACACGTATTTGTCCATCTATCGATGGTTGTCTAGGGACTCCCAGAGAGAAGCAAGAGTGAGGAAAAGGAAGGTATAATTATTTAGGGGATTATGACCATGTAGTTCCCAGATCCGACACTCGCACGAAAACGAGTCTCCACGGAGAGGATTTCTTCCATCGTGTCCAGAGCTGCCTGCGGAGAGTCGGGAACAAGATCCTAGGAGATGGCCCACTTGGCAGAGATACGAAAGAGCTTCGCCCCATTCCAAATGCAACTCATAGCGACGAAGACTGAACCCACTCTATTTCCCGTCGTCGCCTAGAGTGGATTTGAAGAAGTGCCCCTATGCTTGGTTCTGAATGTTCAACGGTGAATGCTCACTAGCACTATCCGATCACCGATAATTGCCTTCTGCCTCATCTCGACGCAGGGCCTTGCGGAAATGGAAGCCGCCGCCGGCACCCTGAACCCCACTCTGTATTGCGAGAATTTGAGAACTCGGAGCAGACATAGGGTGAGAAGGCGAGCTCGATGAACTTCCTTTCTCACTGAACGTCCAGGGTTCAAAATATCGGACCGAACTTACATACAAGCGAAGATTATCTGATAAGTAACAAGAGTCTAGTCCGGTACACGGCACGGTGAGTGGATTTGAGCGCCGTTTGGTCCGTGGTCATGGGAATGGTAGAGCGAGACGATATGTAGTATGTCAATAGTCCGATCATCTTCCCACTTTGGAGGCATGGGTGTTTTAGTTAGTTATACTGTCCAGACGCTTGTTGTCTCGAGTTGAAAGACGTGGATTGTTCGGCGTTGATTTTTAACAGCGCGCAATTATTTTCCCGGGAACCTGGTGCATTTCTGTCACTTGATGGTGCGTAGATCTACAGTCTACGGAAGTGGAGTGCGGGGTACGCCTGGGAACTTCGTTGGGGGGAACAGGGGGTGAAACTGATACGTGTCGAAGAAGATATGCTTTCTGGTAACTCAACGACTGGGTGTAGAGCCCTCGGAGATGTACAAGTGCGCCACTGGGAAAACGAAATGATCCGTCAAGCTTTGACTTCTCTCCCAAGAGTCTTACAGGAGAAAGACCCATATGTCATTGTTAGTAAGGTCGCACAGCGGCTGACAAAACCAACAAGACAATAAGGCCTTTAGGCATATCCGTTAGTGCTTGGGATATCTCTTATTTCTTGGCCGGCTTGGAAACCACGGCAGGCGTTGATGCAAATGAGTAAGCTGTGCCAGAGTGTATCTTCTCGGATGGTCGATTGAAACAAGTTGTGGCAAAGGGAGTCTCATTCTTGAACGTTCCTGAAAGGTTCGCGGTTAAACTTTGCCCGCGTGAACGTACTACCTCTAGACCAGAACCAGAGATCAAGTCAACTCTATCTAGCTTTATCCCCTCGTCGACAAGGACGGCGTACTGATGAGAGTCCGTCCTTTCAAATCGGAGCGCTAGAGTGCAGATTCAGCTCTAGAACCATTATTCCTCCCGTGCTTGATCTCACGTCGCTGCGCCGATGCTGAATTGTTCAATGATGAAACGGTTGAGTCTGGATGTATCGTACACCCACAAAGGGAAGCCTCTGAACCGCCTACCGGCAGAGCATGTTTGTACTTCCGGCGAGGTGAACTACCCTCTGGTTGCACTCCTTCTGATTCCCCGTTGTTGATTTTCCCCCTTCATCAATCGGATACGAATCATCCACCCCCACTTTCTTGGTCATTTAATCCCGAAATGAAGTCAGTCAGGTCGACAGCTGCGGTTTTAGCTCGTCTTGTGCCTTGAATTCCTCCTTGTGACCCGCTCATTGTATTCTGTACCATCTCTGATGCTTATAAACAAAACGACGTGAACTCCAGGAATTGTGTGCATCTATTCTAATGGGGCAGCAGTTGAAGTGTATCTGAAGGCTACCTGGCGAAGTGCTACGATCGATTTCTCCCGTAATGAGTTTGGAATGACATGCGTCCAGAAGGGCGTTAGATGGGCGACTTGAGACAGATATATAGACGTAAGATGAATTGGATTTACAGGAACCGAATGTTATTCGTCGACGCAAAAGGGCCATAGGACGCCCTGCGATAGTACGCTGTATAGAGTTGAACGGTTGACTTCATAGTTCTTCTGGAAAAATACCTTGTCCACTCGAGGTCGACCAGATCTTGAAATTATTTTGGACTGAAGTCCGTTGGCAGGACAGAAACAGCGCCGGGCTCCACCTTCGAATCGATCGCGCACGTAAATTATCTAACAAAGGCTCCTCGAGATCAGAAAGGTACGGCATGGAGCATGTATTATTCAAGCATAGCTCCGTCGCCCAATGTCTACTGTATGGTGATGATCACGGTTGAAACATTCATAGTCAACAGTGAGGAACAACAACGTTCATTTGAGCAACGCGTCGAACAACGCAACTGGTGCAGCTTCTAATGAACGGACATTGGTCAGTAACATTCGATTCGATCATGAATTGGTTGGCTTACAGGATGCCAGGAACCACGGCGGGGTTGTGGTTTTTCTATCATCTCCAGCGACGCGCAGGTGGTCCCCAAAACGCGGTGTTGCACGTAAGATCATTCCGTCGACGACTAAGAAAGGCTTCAAGAGATATGTTTGGTTGCCGGGTACTCCCATACCTCCAAGTTCAAGCGTGTTCGAGCCATTCCTTTGGAGTTTAGGCGAGCGCTGTCTCCCAGGTATACACAAATCTTTGGATATTGATCAAATCATTGAAGCTTCGTATGGCCAGAGAAGCTCCGGCTCGTCGACGAATCTGTACTCCGCGCTCAACAACTGGCGTTCGTGCGATCCCTCATCTATTATTTATCAAGGCATCAGCGACAGCGGACATACAATTCAAGGGAACCACAACTTGCCTCCAGCTAGATAAAGGAATGAGCGAAGACCGTGGCGAATCCACCGGTGGCCTTTCTCCCGACGACGGAAGCTGACAATCCAGGCGTCCAGCAAAGCGCGAGCTCGGTGTGTGAAGTTGTACTTTTGTCCTCGGGGAATCTTGTGGGCGTCTAGAAGCCAGAGCTTGGTCAAAATGCTCAAGGCTCTGGCCTGTCGATGCGAAGGATCGAGGCACGGCGTAAACTGTTCGCACAGGAGGAGGAGAAAAGTGCAGGACGAACCTCTATCATATTCGGGTCTTTGATCTCAAAATTCTCTAACCCAGTCAAAACGCCGTGGAGCTTCACTTCAGCTCTCCACTCTGTCAAAGGCTGCACGGGCCCGTGAAGACCACCCGACTGGTAGAATTCGACTAGCCCTGCTAACTCGCTGAGAAATTTGGAAAACACTTTGTGTAGTTTCTTATTGCTCAATTCAACAATATCGAGGTTGCAACGCGCACTATCGCACGCCTTCTCGTTTGCGAAGACCAATCGCACGACTTCGAGTTGGACGCTTAACGGGCGGGAGCGTTGGTCGATGATCTGGTTGACAATGGGCAGAATCAACTCCACTGGGTCGTAGACGACGAGTTTTTGCAAATGTGGAACCAGTGAACCCCCAGAAGCATCTCCCAGAACTTGCTTTAGGTCCTCCGTCGAGAGATTGTTACATTCCAACTCGACGAGCTGCGGCATGCGGCGGAGAAGGTCCGCCAGACAACCTCGATCCTGGCGAGGAGGGCCGGTGTATAGAGAGAGACATCTGATGGAGATTCCTGCGAACGAACGTCTCAACATGGACGTAATGTCGGTGAGAGCGTTCGGGTTCACGGTGTCGCGTACCCTGAGCTCTTGGAGCTTCGGCGTGTCGATCATGTTGATGATGGTGTGCAAGGACCCGCCGTACATGACGAGGTCGAGATGGGTGAGACGATACGGCACCAGAGAGTTTAAGGTTGGGAGTGGGTTGGGCCCGGAATGAATGCCAATCCACGTGAGGCATTCGAGAGAAAGGGCGCCATCGCGGAGGGCTGGGACGATCCCGATGGGGTGGGAGGAGCGTTCTCTGTACCTCTTCAGCTGCTTCCAAGGGAGCTTGAGGAAGATTGGTACCATGCACTCTATATGAACGTCGTGGAGTGCAGGTGCATCCTGGAAGGCGTCCAAAGATCCAACTTGTCTCGACATTTCCTGAGGCTTGTGCTTGATGTCAAGGTGCAAAGTCTCGAGTCTCGACACTCGATTGAGTATCTTGGACGATATAGCTTGGAAAGACGATCGGTGGAGCTGTAGAGAGACGGATTTCCACCGTCCGGACGATTTGAAGTACCACAGGGCGGCTGGGTGTAGACCGGAGCTGTCGAGTCCGCCCAACTGGAAGGACACCGATACTAGTGTAGTGGTGAGATGCTGGCCGACGTCGAGTTTCTTATTCCGCTTCGTGAGACGCAGTGGGGGTAAAACGCAATGGATTTCGGGGATGGAGAGACAAACGTTGCGCCAGAGGCGGCAGACGTGTCCAAGTCGGTACGGTGGGTTATGGAGATCGACGTTCGGGTCGTTGGCGACATACGTTAATATAATGACCAGGATTTCGAACGGAAGAAGTCGAACAGATGAAAGGAGGGCTTTATGTACCCGTAGAAACGATTCGAGTGCAGCATCCTGCTGGTACCAGGTCTTCCTGTCGGGTGTTGAAGAAAACCTTCGCAATGAAACCTCTTGTTCCGCAGCAGAGATAGCGGCAGTCACGAGGATTCTTTCTTGGGGTGTTGGCTCGTCGTTGGACGCGAAGAGCCTCGAAACTGGCGCAACCAGAGAGACCAGGGAAGGGTTCGCATTGAGAGTCATGGTGGTAGGAAGAGAGGCTATTTTGGGAGACTGAACCGAAAATTCGCCATCAAGATGTTCGGACCATGTATGGAAACATACATGAAAAGTCGCCATCGAGAGTGAGCTCGTCTGGAATATATTGCTTATAGCAAGGTGACAGAATTTACATGTCTGGCTATAGGTAGTGCACAATTACGGTGGTCATCGCGCCGGTCTCCCTTACATAAAGAAAAACTACATTGAACAGCTCGAAACTAAAAAACACGGTAAGCTTACTGGGGGGCGTGAAGGCATTGGTACAATTTTGGGAGAAGATGTACTCTATATGAGAAAAGTGGCGTACATGACGATGAGGATTCGTGACTGTGAGACGATGTACAGATGACAAGTGACTTGGAACATAGAATATAGAGCGCGAAAGATTGGGAGTGAGAAAGCGGTGTATGGAAGTAGCAGCTCGATGACGGGCAAAAGGAGAATGCATAGATGTAGGATGCATGAGCCAAGTCCAATGCTAATGCCAACGGCGGTCTAGAGGATGAACACAAGTGAACTCGAAGGCTGAGCACAAAAGAGGCGTCTATATCTACGCCCTGCCTTTTGGCGCCGTCTTGCTGAACAGCTTCGCTTTCTCAATCGCGGCATTGCCTTCGCAAAGAAAAACAAGATCAACATCCGTCTCTTGCTGCAACGAAAAGAACAACAACACGCACTCTGCTTCACCAAGTTCTTCTTATAATCAACGATGCTAATATCTTGCTTCGTCAGATTCTTGATCTTCTTATCCGCAACCTCCCAAAGCTCCTCAGCGACCTGGCTGATGAGGCGGAAGTCGTGCGAGACGATGACGACTCCACCCTCAAACTCTTTGATTGCCTTCGCGAGGGCGTCGATAGACTCCATGTCCAAATGGTTAGTCGGCTCATCGAGGAGTAGGATGTGTGGGTGCTCCATGGCGAGCTGGGCGAAAACGACACTGGACACAGAGATTAGCCTTCTCTGCGAATCCATCGGTTGAAAGAGATTCAAAACCTACCGATTCCTCAACCCATCACTCAGCTGCTTGATCGGCGACGTTTGGTGCGTCCCGCTCAGGCCAAAGCGACCAAGTTGGGCTCTCCACGCCATAACGTCTTTCTCGGGGTACTTCTGACTGAAAAGCGACTGGAAGTACTCAATCGGGCTCTTGTCGTAAGGGAGCTGGTCAGCCGAGTGTTGTGAATACTTGGCGAGTTTGAGGGCGGCGTGCTTGGAGATGGTGCCCTCGCATGGTTGGAGAGCGCCAGTGATGAGGTGAAGGAGAGTGGATTTGCCGGCCCCATTCGCGCCGAGGATGGCTACGCGTGAGTCCATGCTGGAGAAGGGCGTAAGGAAGAGCAAAGACGGAGATGAGGACGACCATACTCGATACCGAAAGAGAGTCCTTTGTACAGATAGTCCTCTTTCTTGCCAGAATAAGAGAACGCGACATCGTCAAAAGCGATGATCGGCGGTGGTAGTTTGCGGATGTCCTCGAAGTTGAATCTGAATGAAATCAGGATGCGAGCTTATCGGGAAGCCGATGTAGTACGTACCTGAGGGGTCTCTTCTCCTCAACCTTCTCGATCAGGCCAGCAGCCTCCATCTTGTCGATGATCTTCTGCTTCGACTTCGCTTGCCGCACCAAGTTGGCGTATGTACCAGCGGAGGCAATGAACCTAGATCAATGACGTCAGAGTCTGCGAACGAGAAGAGTAGCCACAACGAACTTTTTGATGTGAGCGATTTCCTCTTGCTGCTTGTGGTAGGCCTTCATCTGGTTGACCTCGTTCTCCTTCTTCGTCTTCACGTACGTCGTGTAGTTACCCGCGTAGTACACGAGCTTCTTCTTCGTCGTCAGGTCCATGATGTTCGTGCACACCGAGTCCATGAAATCTTGCGAGTGCGAGGTGATGACCAAGATGTGGTTGTACGTCGAGAGGTACGCCTCCAGCCAGACGACGGCGCCGAGATCGAGATGGTTCGTCGGTTCGTCGAGTAACAGCAGATGAGGTTTGATGAACAGCGCCCGGGCGAGCGCCACACGCATCCGCCATCCACCAGACATATCCCTCGTTGGCTTGGCCATCATCGCCGGCGAGAACCCAAGACCGTGCAAGATGCTCCCAGCCTTGGTCTCGAACGTGTTTGGGTCGAGCTCTTCCAATTCCTCGTACGCAAGCTCGACGGCTGCGTCGTCCACGTCGTCCATCGTGGACAACTCCTCGATGTAAGCCTCTAGGCGGGCGACCTTGGCTTTGGCGGAGGCGACGATGAAGTCGACGGCGTTGACGTCCGATGGCTCGGCCTCTCCCCGAACTATATAGATGTCGATGTGGGGTGGGATCTCAATATCCCGCTCTGCGATGGATTGCAGGAAAGTCGACTGGGTTCTGTTAGCAAAATGCGAAAACAACGGGATAAGAACACACCTTTCCTGAACCGTTCTCTCCCAAAAGACCATATCTCTGCCCGTAATTCAGCGCGATCTCAGCACCCTCGATGAGTAACCTTCCGTGGAACGACAGCGTGTACTGCTCGATCTTGATGTCTCTGCTCTTCGGATCGGAAGTCAACACACCCGCTGCACTCCTGCAAACAATCTCTTCAGCACGAGCTCCCCAACGGCCACTGTGTGACGTACCTATCAGTAGCCATGTTCAACCTCGCCATCGACATCAAGTCCTCCGTGCTGGCCGCCTTGCTGTTGACTCCGCTCATGCTCGTCAGCGGCGTGCTCGCGCCATTGACAGAGCCAGAAGGTGTCCCCGAGGGCGAATCATCGGTGGTTCCTGCTACTGCGGCGTTCTTCTTCGCTGCCTTCTCCGCAAGGCGCTTTTGTTTTGAGGCCGAAGGAGCCATTTTCCTGTGTCTATATTATAAAGAATGTCTCTGTAAGTCCTGAATTCGCGAGGCGGGTAAGGAAAGGGTAGAAGACAAGGACAGATGGAATCGATGTCGATGGATTGGTCCGCCAAATTTTCTGGTGGCGATGTGATAAGATCGGAGTCTGAATCAGCGGTGGCGGTGCCCCTTCAGAATGCTTACATAACAAAACGCACCGAGGAACGCGAATAACGAGACACGAAGAGAGAGGCAAGAAAAACTCACGAGAAGAAGACCAGGAGGCGACCAGTGCGGTAGGAGGTCGCTGTACATGTATAATGCAAAGAATGGACAAAATAGCGTCTCGGAGACCAATTGCAAAGGAGGAAGAGAGGGAGACCGACGTGACGTTCAGAGATTGTGGGGGTTCGGAAGGAAGATGAATTTGCAGAGGGATGGGCTCATATACCTTGTCGAAAACAGCTTTCGTTGGGTAAAGGTCACATGAGGACTGGCGACTTTTTGGGGCGATCGTTTTTGGTAGGCAGACTCCCAAATTAGGATTAGACGATCATGGCGGTCAGCTGCCTCAGTTTCGAAGAGACGGGGGACGAAGTGCCTCGATGTCCTTGCAGGATAATAAATCCTGACGACTGGTACATTATTTGACCTGCATTTATCACGGTTGATATCTTGCTGCTCCGAAATGGTTCAGTTAAGCGATTTCTGTGCACCGCTCGGCACCTGCCTCCGTTTCAGCAAACAGGACTCTATATTGCGAACTCTTGGGCTTAGAAAGGTCTGGAGCGCGATAGGTTTTATATTTAGAACGTGACTGCAACGTTTTCATGATGTGATGCGGCTCTTAAGAATCTGTAGTGTGTACAGAGAGCTTAAGCTTTTAAGATCATCTCGGATCTTCCTGAGCGGGACTCCCCTGTTGAGCTGCTCGACCATAACTTAGATGCAGTTAATACAGTCGGCTGGTTTGTGTTTACCGCTTCGGAGAATAATATATAAACCACAGGCTGCTTCACGGTGGAATATAAAAACAAATTAAACTGAACCAAGGCGACAATCACGTCTTAAGTTGCTACCCTCAAACTACATGACACAACGGACTTGTCCTGTCAGACCCATCGAGGATATACGGTCGGGCTAACGGCAACCTGTGGCATAAGCAACTCGGGAAAATCGTTCATGATACCATTCCAATATATAACAGTGACTACTTGAATTATTGCTCATAAATGATGAGATGATGAGATGAGAAATACACTATGATGGTAGTCCATAAACCAAGTCATAACTGTCGTGAAGAAGAAAAGGAAATGCGGAGAAAGAATGGCCATAGACACTACTGAATCGGTGCGAATTTCAGGGATTGCGGCTCTCCAACACCCCAAGCATCCTCGCTCCGCGAGGAAGCAGGAAGAGGGCGCCGGCCAGCGGTCGCTGCTCTTGGCCCAGAAGGCCCCGGTCTATTCAACCTTCCACCTTGACCAAGCTGGCCAGCAGACGATGCAAGCGCCAACGACGCGGAGTCGGCTGGGTACGCACGAAAACTCGGTTGCGATCGACTCGTCGACGGTTCGGAGGAATCTCCCTTGGAATCGCGCATGAGCGTAGAAAGCGAGAAATGGTATTCTCCTGGACTGTATCCAGGCGGCTCCTCAATTGGAGCTTGCAGCGAGCTTTGTGCGGTCTGAGGTCTGGATGGGCCGGATTTATTTCGTACTCGGAGGGGACCAACGGTCGCTGCGGATAAGGTGGCGAGACCTTCACTGTACGACGAGGCGTTGGAAGTGTAGGCGGTCGCTCCTGCAGTACTGGTCCTCGACAGTGCTTGATGTTCTGGGTCGTAAGGGTCGTACCCATCGTTGCTTCGGGGGCCACTAGACTCTCCTGACTGGTACGCGTTGGAAGGTCGCAAGGCCGCCCGTTCAGATGTCGGTGCCGAAGGGGTAGGAGGAATATAAGGGACGAAAGGGCCATAGGCAGAGACCGTGCCGCTGGTTCCACTATATCCTCCTGATTCGGCGCTGGGACAGAGGCATAGGGACTTCCAGTCTCGGATGTTCCACCATACCATGACGGACTTGTAGGATCGGAAGGTAGGTCGCTGGGGCTGTTAAGATCGAGCACGGGTTTTGAAATGGGGTAGTCGGCTGCATGCTTCTTTCGGCGGAAGCAGAACCACCAAAGTAGGAAGAGCAGGAACAGGGCGACGATTGGGCCGGCCACGCCGAGCGCAATCGCAAGAGTACGCCTCGAACCCAACGATTCACTTCCCCCGCTTGCACCAGCGGAATTTGATGGAGGAGGAATGTCTGTCGCACTCGTTGACGTAGAGTCTGGTGTTGAGGAAGAGCTTGGTGACACGGAGGTGGATGATGTCGGATCTGGGTCAGTAATCTCGAAGCTATTGAAATTTATTCAGGATTCAGTCAAGTTGAAATTAGATAGACGCACATAAACATGTCGACCACGGCATACAAGTCTCCCGGAGGAATAGAAACTCGGATGGTATGCTCCATGTTCGTAGTTCCTTGGTATTGAGCAACGACACTGGATTGTACAGTTCCACCTCCGCTTCCAACGTCAGGCACGGTGTGATCTTGCAAGTCGACGATCATTGTTTGTTGGTCATCGATCGTGAGCTGCGTGATGACCCGATAGGGCCATTTGACGGACATGAAATAGAATGACGCGACTGAATCACAGCGATTCCGGGAGTTCAGAGAACGAGAAGGAAGAAGTCGGGAAGCGGACGTACACGTGTAATTAACAGTCGCGAATGCGCTGCTGCTCAGCGTCAGCCTGTGCGATCCTCCCGCATCCAAATCGCCCGTGATAACAGTCCAGCTTGCGTCCGGCGTATAGGTTATGAGTGGGCTTGTATCGTCGACGGTAATATTGCGTCGTTGTTGGGCATAAGCAGTCGTTAAGAAAAGGGAGAAGAGAGGGAGGAGGAGGTAGCAGACGATCATGGGGGAAACCTCATGGAAGGCGGAGGAAACTTTGGGGGCGTTTGGTCTGACAGTCGATGCTAGCACCATGTTCTCTTGTACGTATGGCTGTGTGGGCTGTCAGGGTCGTCCGCTTACGGAAATATTGACTGATGGGAAACCAAGCCTTGTGTGACAGGCCTGCCAAACGCCAGTCATCGACACAGCTTTGCTCGGTCTACATAGTCTTCAAAGTGCGCTTTCCTCAACGCTTTCTGGATCGACGAACCCTTATGGTCAATTTCTCGCATCATGATTCTTGATTTTGTTCGGCGCTTAAAATGGGACACCCGGGTCTCACGTTATCAATCCATTTCTCACGCCATTCATCGAGCGCCTAAACACACGATTGCTTGTCTCTTGCTACCATGTGGACTTGATGACAATCAAAGTCAGGAGATGTGATACTCGCACGAGTTTGAGGGCATCCGGATCGTTACTTGTCCGCCGTGAAAAGGAAAAAGAGTCGACGAAGAGACCGGCGAAGATGGTGGGAAAAGTCCAGTATAAGGTTCTGGAGGATCGGTAAGCTTGCAAGTTCAACAGTTTGCGGGAAGGAGTAGGTAATATAAAGGCCAGTAGACAACCCCATCAATTTGGCTGGCGGGGCGGACTTGGGTGCGAGAAAAGTGGATAAAAGAGGACAATCTATTACCCGTTTCTCTCACCAAGAAGGATACAGGTCCAGAGAGTGGGACCCAGATGTACCTCGAGATCTTCCTAGTCCGTTGTCATATACTTTCTGTCCGAATCTAATCCTTTTGATTCACCGTCTATATTTACATATCGTTGACGCAGCGCTGGTCGAGCGAGCAGCTGTATGCCTGACACTCTTCACGAATCAAATGCCACCATCGGCCCACAAAAGAAGGAGAGTTCGAGAATTTTAACCTGAATTCAACCGGAAACTAGGTGAATCATCAGCTTCCAGTTCACATATTTGTCGAAAGAAGAGTCACCAAGACTTCAATTTACGAAGGAATAATCCCAAATTTGAATACTTGCCTCAATCCACAGGCCTAACCGCCTCACGTATCATGGCTTCCGTAATGCCAGGGCGAAGAGAGAACCGACACTTGAAATGAGGCGCGGAGCTGACGATCTCGGTCGTATACTCTATCGTAGAGCGGTCGAGCAGTTTTCCATCCTTATCTCTCGCGTCAACCAACTCATACGCGCTGAGCACGGAAGCGAATAAGATCCACGCGAATTCTCGTGCAATATCTCGTAAAAGTCAGCCTCAGTCACACTGATACATTGAGTAGGGCAAGAGGGACTTACTTTCACCGGGACAAATTCGACGACCAAACCCAAAAGCCGCATCTGTCTTTGCGCGAGTCTCGTCCAGAGTTCCGTCGGCGTTTAGGAACCTCTCCGGAATGAATTCATCCACGTTGGGGCCATAGCGTTCTTCATCATGTAGAATATTCCACGTGTTGGCGATACAGATGGAACCTTTCGGAAGAACGTACCCTTCGTACACGTCATCTTGGCTCAGGATATGTGGCACCCCGAGTGGTGCTACGGGGTTCCAGCGCACAACCTCGTGGATGAGGGCGTCGATGTACGGAATGGTGCCACAGTCTTTAAGCTCTGGGAGTCGTCCGCAGAGCGTGAAGTCGAGAATTTCATAAGCCTTTCGTTGGACGTCTGGGTACAGGACCATGGCGAGCGCGAATGAGTTTATGAGAGCGACAACCGTGTCGGTCCCCGCGGCGTAGGAGGTCCCGAGGACGTCGATTATACTGATTTCTTCGTCATTAGAGACGTTGGATGATTCTTCGTCGAGCCTGAAGAAACGCCCAGCTACCGAAACTCTGTGCGTTCCTTGGATCTGCAAAAAACGAGAAGGTGAGAAATTTGTCTACTAGTGTTGAATAAGAAAACTCTGACCGAGTCGGCTTTTGCAGATTCGAATGGGGCCCGCATCATCTTATCAACCAGATCACCAACTACCCCCACTCCGCGAGTGACTCCAGCAGTGGTAAACCATGCTAGAAGAGACGTGAGGAATGGCAAAAAATCGACTGAGGCAGAGGATCAGGACAGTCGCGTGTGAGTCATAAAGCAATGACGCACAGACGAGGCCTTGAATCATAAGGCGTTTGAGGAGGACAGCACTTTCTTGCGTGAGAGCGACATGCTCACCCTGCTGACTAGGGGGAACACCATACGTCGCAGATAGAAAGAAATCGTTGACTGCCCTAGTAATTTGTTCTTAGAGGTAAGATTCGTAAGGGAAGTGGGAAAAGGTAGAACTCACTGGCGAAATTCCATTTGGTGGTCGTTACTCTCCAAGAGGGAAACGAGAAGCCGACGAGACGACGAAAGCTCATTAGATCGAATCACAGACTCCATTTCAGTACCTAAGTATTGTTTGAACGTTTTGCGGTTATCTGTATACGGAGGGGAGTGAGCATGAGACGAGAGACGAGAGACGAGAGAGGGCTGGTCAACACACTTTTCCACCTTTCGCCATAGTCCTGGAAGACGAAGATTCGTGAAATTCCCAGTCTAAGACAAATGTTGAGAATAAAAGTCACATCAACTTAAATCTCGCCTACTTCTCGAAAAAGGCTGTGTATGGCCTATCGGAGTAGATAAGACCGCGCTTCACGAACAGATCTTGGACGGCGTGTTCTGTATTGAGGATGATGATGGTCGCACCGGGAATCTGGAGAGACAGAATATCGGAACCTGGAAGTCGTCATTGAGATAGCTGACGAGGAGAGGGGGAAAGACGTACGGTATTCCTGTGCCCAACGAGCATAGACCTTCCATGGATGTTTGTACCACAAGTTCAGACCGTTTCCAATAAGCGGCCAGCGCAATGGGCCAGGGGGAAGAGGCCCTTTCCGTCGAGGAAACACGAAGCTGGTAAAGGCCACAAGCCCAGCAGAGAGGGGAAAGACCCAAATCCACAGCATCTTCGAAGCGAATGCAGTAAAGCGAAGAATACTGGGGTGCCTACAGCTTATAACCGATCTTCATGACCAAGAATCCGTGACATTGCCATCGGGAGAAGCTCATAATGAGTTAAAGACTATTTGAAGTCATTACTGCTTCGCAAGCGGATTCGCCGCCAATGTGATGCTTTCTGCTGTTTGATGCCATCCGAGTCGGTCAGAGTGCAACTAAGTATCCCGATTTCGACAGGACAGGTGGTCTTTTAGAACCCAACCGAACATCTATGTAAATTAAAGATGCACGGGAGGATTCGCCATATAAACGAGAAATCCCAACGTACCTAAGGTGTTCGTACTGCAACTCGTACGCGTGTTGGCGATGGTGAAAGTTCGTCCGTCGAAATAATTGACCTTGCGGCGTGTTCCGAACCGACTATTGAGTGTATGATCCCCCGAGCTAATGGTGTGAGCTTTCGAGGGCTCGCGAAGCATGGATAGGCCGCATGGATAGGCCGCGTCTGATTGCTGGCATTCATTTTCGGATTTCTCCCAATTCCAAGCGAGATAAGATCAGATAAGATTCTCGTCTTCCAACTTGTTCTCCACGTCCTCTCCTTTCTACCGTTTTCAAGTCTCGCCTCTACTTATTCGCGCAGTACCACGCGAATGGCAAGAGTTTTTCGTTACCCACGAGGGCGTCATATACAACCAAGCCACGTTCTTTCACGGATTCACTGACCAACGAACACCCGTTCTCGACATCGACGCCGTGCATATGGGCCTTATCCGGTGCAATGGGATTACTCGTACAGAGTCATTCCAGAAGACGAACTTGACTGGGTGGAGCTCTGTGAGTGCGCTGGCAATCGCTTAGGGTAGCTCAATGACTAACAACGTCGCCGTCGTCCTACAGGCAAGCGAAGGGTTCGCGTAGGTAATGCTTGGAAAGGTCTTGCACCGTCGACGGTGAGCCATATCAAGATGAAGCCTCCGAGAGGCCCAAGCATCATGACGCCGTATCATGTGGCAGTTGATGAGGTTCGCACTGGTCACTTGCGTTTAAGGACTCATTGTAGAACAGACAGCATGAATACTCTACTTGCATACAGACGCGTTGTATTAAATTCATATCTTGGAATTGAGCTTGAAGGAGGCCAGTCCGGCAATGCGTTGATGGTGGGAGGAAAAGATGGTGTTCTGGTAATCGGCTGGTCGGGATATCTTCGCCTCCTAGAATTTATCAGAGGTTGCAATAGCATTAGATGATTCCTGATCAATTGAACGTTATCCGGATACCGTTATTTCTCCACTGCTTCCACTTTTTCCTAAATTCTCTCCGCTTCTCACTAGCCTCCTTGCTCAACCCAAAAACCACTTCTTGAAGCTCAGAACCGCCATTCTTCTTCCACAAACGCGCTTCCACAAAGCCAGATAGTAAACACTCCAACAAAAACTTTTCTTCCATACGTTGGTTGATAGTCCGGAGGGTCTTCAGTCGAGGAAGATATTCGGGGTGCGTGATGAGAGGCTCGAAGAAATAATTAGACCCATCCTCGTACGCCTTTCGAGTGTAATCAGGATCCTGGCTGGGTTCGTCGGAGCCTAAACACCCCAGTGGACCGGAGATGGTGAGCTCTTCCAGCGCTTGTAAAGATTGTTGGATGTCCTTAAAAGTATAGCAGGCGAGTCCGGGAAGTTGCAGCTTGCATAAGGTTTTGCCACACCGCTGAAAAAATGACATCAATTCGCCAGATTCCCCGTCTTCAACCTCCCTTTCGTAGTGTACGGTCGCTACCTCGAGTGCAGGGCACTCGAGAGCGGAGGGAATCAAAGATGGGGGTTGATCTGTCTTAAATGTGAGTCGCTTGAGACGCTTCAGCAAGAGGGGCTTTTGGTAATCTTCCGCCATCATGTCATCGCAGATGGCCGGCCATAGACAACAGTTCTCCAGGTTGACACATTGGCGGAGGATGGTAAGGTAGTCGGTGGAGAACATGTTGGAGGTAATAATGAGGTTCGTCAACTGGTGCCACGGCGCACCAGATCTTGCATGGAATCGAGGGTGAGCGACCGGAGTTGCGTGAATGGCCGGAAATCCACCACGCCTTCTGGGAGGAGCCACTCGTGGGGTCCATAGATACGCTCGCGGCACCTAAAAGAGAAGGCATCGAGTCGAGAAACATCAAGGTCGCCTATAAAAAAAAGCGGCGAAGTCGTCTATGTTGTCGGTTGTGTAGGAGATCGACCTCCATTCGCACTCTCCCGCCATGACTGTAACATCGTCGAGAAGCTCGGAGGGCTTACGCAGTTCATTATTGGGGCCGATCGAAAGAGAAAGTGGATGTCCACTGGCTCGTTCAACAACGGTGACGAGGTAGGGAACAACATCATACTCTTCCTCATCGTCATCGCCGAGGACGATGCAAGTCCACAGCGAAGGTGATTGGATGATCAACCGGCGCCAGAGGCGACAAACATGCGAGGGGTAAATCATGTTTCTTGAGTTGTCGTCGAGCAGCATCACTAACACCTCTAAGATGATTTCTGGAGGAAATCGGTGGATATGAGGGGCATGCGCCACCGCATGCTCGAGTACCGGTGAGGACATCTGGAGGGTACGAGGTAAGATTCATCGCAAATACCAATCTCGAAACTCACAGTCCCTACAAGGCTAATCAGCTTATCGCGTTTCTTCGCGAGCCCTAGGTGATAGTTCAATGCAAAGACGCACAAAGGTTCCATCACAATGGATCGGGTTTCGTCGGAGGATCTGAACGCCCTGTCGCATTGCCGAATCCGGTGACAGCCCCTATTTCAACATCGCATCCTTGACCCACGTACCCCATCCTACGTGCAAGTACTACCGCAGATTCAAGATAGGAGAAATTTGAGTTACCGTAAAATTAGCACATATATATAAATCATGCGAGAATGAACATGAAGTGGCAATAAGACCCTATTCGAAATCTACCTGAATGCCTTGCGCACACCATTGCCTGCCTTTTTCCTGTCTTTCCATCTGTCGGTAACGGGAGTCCCGATCCAATCCAACAAAGACCTTCCATAGGGATGATACTTGATCCTTACCTGCTAATAGACGAGAGTCGAGGAATCGAGCGACTTCCCATTCCAGAGCAGCCTTTTCTTCAAGGTGCTGGTCGACGATATGAAGAATCTTCAGTCGAGGAAGAGCCTCGGGCTGATCAATGAGATTCCCGAAAAAAAACGAATGCCGGCAGTGTAGATTTCTTTTTTGGATAATTCATCGATATCGGGCGAGCCAAATGGACCAGATATGGTGAGCCTCTCGAGGACCTTCAAGTCGTCTTGCATCTCATGGAAGTAGTCAGTCGCTATTCCAGGAAGCTGCATTTTCTGTAACGTGGTGCCACAACTTCGGATAAACGATATCAATTCGCAACATTCGTCATTGTCGTCATTCTCATCGTAATCGAAGGTGGCATCTTGGAGTGCTGGGCATTGGAGGTTCCACGGGATTAGGGCAGGGACCCGGTAGGTCGTAAGGTGGAGTCGCTTGAGTTGAGTCAGCTGGATTGGGTCGCGTTCCAGTTCTTCATGAGATATCTTCTGCATGTCGTCGTTCGTATCGGGGCATAGTCTGCAAGTTTCTAGGTTGACGCAGGAACGGAGGATGGTCAGATAGCGAAGGGAGTCCATGTAAGCCCCAAGGTTCAGAGCCGTGAGCTGATCCCACGGAGCCAACACATTTGCGGTGCGGACTTGTTGAAGAAATTCAAGGGTCAATGAACGCAGTTGCACAAAGGGCTGCATGTCGACCACTCCGCCTGGCAGGTCCAACTCGAAAATCCCGAAATCCCGCACACGGCATATCAGAGACAGGCTCCTGACATGAGCGACGTTGGCGCTGCCATCAAAGTAAGGAACGAATTCATCGATCTTGTACGATTCATAGCAAAGCGAGCACCATTCCGCATTCTCTGCGACCTTCAGAACGATCTTGAGGAGCTCGCATGCAGTCAGAAATTTGCTGTCGGGATAGATTGAAAGTGAAAGTTGGCGGGGGCCGGCTCGTGAGACGACAGTCTGTAGGTAAGCGAAAACAGCTTCCTTGTCTTCGTTGTAGTGACCGAGGGCTATGCACGTCCAGAGAGAGGACGATTCCGTGATTAAACCACGCCAGAGACGGCAAACATGCGATGGAAAGACCATGTTTCTCGAGTCGTTGTTGACGAGGATGGAGAAAACCTCTAAGAGAACTTCCGGTGGCACCTGTTGTATGAGCGATGGTCGGCCTTTGAGGGACTTTTGACGTTGCAGTTCCTTCCGTTCAAGATCGCGACGATAATCGCTGACAAGGGCTTCCAGCTCCTCTTGCGTGGTATACAAGGCCATCTTGAATGAGAAGGGTCAGAGGAAAGTTGAGAATGGAGTTTCTGCACCCACGATAAGAGTTGGATTGGTGCCTACCACTTCACTCCTACAAAGTGGAAGGTGTTGGTATGAAGGAAAGACGCGAAAAAGTCCCATCACAACTGCCGGATAAAGAAATTCAGCCCCTATAAGTAACAGGGTTCAACGCGACTTGGAATCAGGCCTTTGTATGCAGTAGATACCCATTATTTTTAAAATATGCAGGTGAAGAATAAAAGCTTTCCGCACAAATAAGGCTCAAAAAATATCATAACGACGGTGCGTTCAAGGAGAGGAGTAGAGTCTAGTAAGAACTCACCAACTCCGAGGTCCGTAATAATTCCTTACTTATCAATACAGCGTATAAGGATCTCAGTGAGAGTTCTGATAACAGGGATGTGTCTGCTGACCTGGTGCGAGGGACAACGGTTCAGTCGATTGCGCTGCAAGGAAGCATAGAATAAATATTCACTGAATTTTACTCCCTTGCTGACGGGGCGAAGAGGTTGGACGTTCGGGAAGTTGTCGCGGAATATCCTGGCCACCAGAGGGACAGCAGAATTTTTAATAGAGACCAAACCTGAGAGGCACACCAAGGGTTAAGCTTATTATCGTTTTACAAGGACTATGTCAATCAACCTGAGGGCCTCGTAACTCTACAGCACGAAATGAAAACCATTGCGAGCCGAACCAATGGAGGCATATTACTCATGTATAGTGGGTGCCGTAGCCATCGAACGCTTGGGCTGACCATCGGTGGGTGCTCATGGCAATCCTCTAAATAATATATAAGATAATGTCAACTTGAACTCTTGCACAAGAATGACGACGAAGATGGGATGAGAGGTATACTACTTATGATCGGAGGCATAAACCAAGTGACGAGTCCATTGCAATTATGGTGAAAAGAAAAGAAATGAGAAGGGCGGCTTATAAACACTACAGAACCGGAACGAATTCCAATGGTTGGGGCTTTCCCGCAGCCCATGTGTCCCCGGCCTGCCGTCCTGAGGTCGTTGAGCCTAATGCTCCTTGTCTATTCGCACTCCCGTTCTGATCAGGTTGGCTACTCGCATGTTCCAAAGAAGAGGGCCCGCCAGGAGCGTACTGGCGAAGGCTTGGTTGCGATCGACTTGGCGTTCGTTTGAACGAATCTCCCTTGTAATCGCCCGAAGCTTGCAAGAATTTATATTCTCCTGGACTGTACCCAGGCAGCTCTTCATCTGGAGCTTCCAGTGAACTTTGTCCTGTCTGGGGTCTCGACGTCCCGGATTTATTTCGTACTTGGAGAGGAGCCACAGTCGCTGCAGCTAGACTCGCCAAACCTTCTCTATAGGACACATTGGGATCGTTGATGGTCGCCCCAGTAGTACAGGCCACCGTCGACAGCGCTTGATGTTCTGGATCATATGGGTCGTACCCATCGTCACCTTCCCGACCAGCGAGAACTCCTGCCTGGTATGCGCTTGAAGGCCCTGAACCCGTCCGTTCGGACATCGGCACTGGAGGGGTGGGAGGAATATAAGGGATGAAGGGACCGTACGCGGAGATCGTTCCGCTTGTTCCAGTGTATCCTCCTGAATCGGACATGGGAACAGATGTGTATCGGCCTCCGGTCTCGGATGCTCCTCCGTACCAGGACGAACTTGAAGGATCGGAGGGCAGGTAGCCGGGGATGTTGGGATCGACGATGGGTTTCGAAGTGGGGTTGTCAGTCTGATGCTTTTTTCGGCGGAGGCAGAACCACCAAGCGAGGAACAGTAGGAGGAGAGCGTAAATTGGGCCTACGACACCCAACGCGATAGTAAGGGGACGCATTGTACCAGACGAAGAATGATTACCTCCGCCTGTCCCAGCCGAATTCGTGGGAGGAGGAGTGACTGTCGTACTGTTTACTGTCGTCGTTGGGTCTTGCGTCGATGAAGAGCTTGTGGACAGTGAGCTGGACGACGCTGGGTCAATAACCTCAAAGCTAGTGGATAATGATCAGTGTGCACCCAAGTTAGGATACGATATACGTACATGAACATGTCGACGACGGCGTAGGGGTCTCCTGGCGGAACAGAAACTCGAATTGTATGTTCTATGTTCGTTGTTCCTTCGTAGTAACCGACGACACTGGATCGAACCATTCCATCGTTTACATCGATGGGCATAGAGTTGTCTTGCAGGTCGAGGAGCATTGTTCGTTGACCATCGATGGTAAGCCGGGTCGTGACTCGATAAGGCCATTTGGGCGAAATAAAATAGAATGACGCAACTGTATCGGACCGATTTGTGGCATAAGAGAACGAGAAAGATGCGCTCCGGAGAGGAACTCACACGTGTAAGTAATTGTCGCGAACGCGCTGCTGCTCATCGCCAGTCTATGGGACCCTCCCGCAGACATATCGCCCACAATTAATAGCCAGCTTGCATCTGGCGTGTAGCTTATGAGCGAGCTGGTATCGTCGACGGTGACATTGCGTCGTTGTTGGGCATAAGCAGCCGTCAAGAAAAGGGAGAAGAGCGGGAGGACGACGTGGTGACAGACGGTCATGGTAAGACCTCATGGGGATCAATCGACGCTGGCAAGTTTCTTGTACGTTGCTTGTACGTGTGGGTGTCCGTGGGATTCAGGGATGATCGATGACCCTTTGTGGAAACCCAGTCTTATGTGATAGGCCCGCCAAAGGCTAGCCATCGACAAAGCTTTGCTCGGTCTACAGAGTAACAGAGTATTCAAAGTACACTTCTCTCAACGTCTGCGGGGCTAATGAGGCTGAGCGATGAATTTCTCGCACCCTGATTCTCGAATTCCTTTAGGCGCTTAAAAAGGGATCTGTTATCAATCCCTTCTCACGCCGATTTCACCGAGCGCTTAAAGCCCGAAACACCTTATCTCTCGATCGCCACCATGTGCAATCCCTGGTTACCAGTCCTCCTCTTTTTGCTCAACTCCACTCTGCGAGGTGCCTCTACAACTTTATTATCGATGATCAAAGTCATGAGATGCAATACTTTCCCAACGAGGCCGCCTGGATACGGGTTCAGTCACCCGATTACGGTGCTAGAGGCACGTACATGATGTCTTCGGACGCTTCAGCCTATGCAACCTTAGAATTCAGAGGCAAGGTGACTTAAATGCACGCTAAATCTATCTCATCGATGAGGCAGGAACTGATCTTCGAGTCGCCTCGCCGTCTTGGGACACAGCGATGACGACAGACATTTCGGTCGACGGCGGCACTCCTATGACGCTCAACCTTCAGTATCAAGGGAACACCACCAACAACATTCCTGATATTCGGAAAGCGATAGGAGAATCACGTCTCGTTGGTGTCCTCACAAACCTGGGGGATGGGCAGCACACAGCCAAGGTATCCATGTCTCCGGGAGGCAGTGCGATCATCGTTGACATGCTCATGTAAGAGTCTTGATATCCCTCTTTGAAATTCTCATGCTAAGTCTTTCATACATACGTAGCTATACATCGTCGACAGGCGTGTCCGCGGACGACCCCGCTTGTAAGAAAAAGTTGAAGGCAACATTCATTGGGATCGGAGTCATGTCCGCCGTCGCATTCGTTCTGCTCCTGCACTTCTCCTGCTGGCTTCTGTCGAGGCCAAGACCCTCCAAACGCCCAGCATCGCCATGGACTGCATATGATCTCGCTCCGTATCCTACGCAGGTACAAAGAGATGCAGCAAGTGTGAATGTGGGGGAAGACAATCACGCGAGGGAAGATGGGCGAGGGTGATAATTGGTACCCGAGAGATTCGAGCAGGGAAAACGATGTAGTAAAGACAGCAACGTGAATGACATGAGGTAGGAATGGGTATTGTTCTCGAAATAGATCTGATACAAAGGCGACATGTGACGGATGGCCCTGAGCATGCCGCAATCGCATCCCGTCCGGCGTTTCTTCGACGTTTTTCCCTTCCACCATCTCATGTTCTCGTCTCTGACCTCCTTTGATAGACTCTTTCTGCTCGAGATCATCGTCGCTTTCCTGCAGCTAAGCTCAGCTTCGGGCATGGAGATCGGCATAGGCGCTCAAAGCCCCTTAATATCGTACTTCGGAAACTGGAACTTGGCATATTGGGGTCCAGATGTGAATGTCTCCAGCGTTCAGATGGTTTCATGGGACCCTCAAGCCTACGCGACATTCTCGTTCAATGGTGCGCTCCATACATTATTGGACTTCGTGTGGTCGTGCATCCCCAATCGTAGGAACTGCACTTCGAATCAAGGCGCCTTTATGGCCCTACCTCGTGACAACCGCGGTCGCCATCGACGGGGGCACGCCACAAGTCCTCGTCCTCCACCCGCGTCCAAATAACCAAAACAAGACGGTGACACCAACAGGCGACTTTCAGGCCTTTCCCAGCCTTCAACCCGGACCTCATACAGTCAATGTCACGATGAATCCGGGAGACGGACAAGTCGTTGTCGATACTTTTGTGTGCGTTTCTTCGCCGTCTCTTCCCTCGCGCTCAGCTTTTATTGGACTGTCCCAGGTATACAACAAGCGTCAACGACTCATCAATCGATTCTCTGCTGTGGCTGCCTGATATGACTTACGACGGTTCGTCTTTCCCATTCCTTAGTTACATATCGGCCGATCTTGATGACTCTGCAAAAACTAGAGGGGAAATGCAAGAGAGCGAAGCGACTTCACGCGGTGTTATCCGCGTTGACTGGTGTCATCGGGACATTGGGACTGTTTAGTCTCTGGCGTCTGTGTTGAATTCGCGGCTCGACGAAAGTGGCGACTACGTATTTCGGCAAGAATAAATGACATGAATCATGCTTCGGTGGATTGGAATGAGCACTGGCAGATACCCAGGGACCTTCTTACGTCTCTTCCGTGCGCCAGTAATCTTCGAAGAAGAGATATCTTCACCTCAGCGATCAGGAATACGCTTAGCGGAAAGAACTCACTTTACTCCTTCTTCTCATCCTCCGTTCTCCCGAGACCAACTCCGAGAAGAAAGCACGTCCTCATGCTCGCTCCCAGATACACAAAGCCCACACTCCCCCACATCATCGCGTTCCAGTCCCAGAAGCGCCAAAACACCTCCCAACCAACAGGGGCCATCGTGGCCAGGTGCCCAAAGTCGGCAACGAGCAGCCCAATGAGCAGGCGACGCCAAGTACGGATCGATGACGTCGAGGAAAGGACGAAGTGTTCGTTTAAGGCAAACAGGAGATACAGGTTCGCAAGCTGGAGGAGGGCCATGCTTGTCTGCGTCGGGTTTGGGGAGTGGGTATACGGCAACCCAAAGGAGAGGTCGTTCAGGTAGTTTTGGGGCTGGAAGGCAGCATAGTACGCCCCTGCAAGAGCCGAGAGAGGTTCGATATAGAGGAAGAAGAGGCGATATACGAGCGGTATCGGTGTAACCATTGATTACTAGGAGCTGAAGCCCTCTGTTCAAGCTCGGCCAAATTAGTTTTGATGGATGATAAATCAGATCTCACGCGCCTTCGTGACTGAAAGCTAACGTCTCCAAGATGAATACTTACGAATGTCCGACGTCGTGGAATGAAGAGAACGCTAGCTTTATTGGCGAAGATCACCCGCTTTCTGGATGGTAATTCACCTTCGGCGTCGGCGGGGTTCGGCGGGGCGCCCTATCTCTTGCTTGAGCTGCCTCATGACCTCACGATTAAAACTTCGGCAGAACTCTGGCAGCCGAGAAGGAACGTCAAAAATCGCAAAAAGTTTTTAAAGACGGAGGGGTTTTAATGCAGGTGTCCACGCTCTAGTCATTTTCCCTCTCCTCTATCTCAGTATCACTATGATCGGAATGTGGTTTTCCTTCACGCTGGGAGCTCTGCTCATTGCTGGGGTCACTTCTGCCGCAATCGAAGAAAATAACGCGAGGATATCTTTGTCCTCAGCTTCCTTTGAAGGTGGAGTGAACGCCAAGTTCGTGAGCCGCGGAAAGAAATTCTGGGTAAGCGACTCGTTGAACATCCCTAGCAAAGTGAACTGGTTGATACGTTGCTGGTTGTAGGGCATTTTTGTTTACCCTGACCTCTTGAAGAACCCAAGTATGAGCTTTTCCTCCGGGGCGAGATATATGCGAATAACTCTTTTGTCAGACGCCTTGCCCGTGATCGAAGCCGAAATAGGAGCTATTACTGCCGTAAGTGGCAATCCACCTTCCCAAATTGGAGTCTCCTTCGGATACTGCCGTTCTGACCAACTGTCTCCAAGGACAATGACATGAAGGTGGGCCGTCGTTTACATGATACGTTTAGTGTAATTTTTTTCTCATGTAAAGGTGAACACAAGTGGGACGCACTTGAACGTGCGCAGCGTCTTTCTTATGCTGCGCTCTATGTTAACCCTGCGTCAGCAACACGTGGAGCGTTCAATTTCGCGAGGTCCGACTTGCTCGTGAGCTGGGCGGTTTCTAATGGGAAGATGATTCGTGGCTATACCCTAGGTAAGCATTTTGCTGTTTGTAATAGCTGTGCCCATTTATGTTGGCGCAGTCTGGCACTCACAGCTGCCGTCATGGGTGCAAAATATAACGAACAGAGTGACATTAGTAGGTCAAATATTCATCCACGCGGCGTAGACTTACTTTAATCTCACTTCTCTCATCCGCACAATTAGATATCGGTAATTCAAGACCACGTCTCTACCGTCGCCGCTAGGTACAAGGGAAAGATATACGGTGAGCACTGAGTGGTTTTGTGAATGTACAGTCGGAACGCTTACATGTCCATACAGCCGTATGAGTCTCTACTCCCCTCAATTCTGCTCACTTAGTCTTCCTCGCTTAGTGGGACGTGGTCAAGTGCGTCCCCTCGTTCGCGCCAATCACTTTTTTGGCTGAGGTTGTACTTATCAGTGAAGTTCTAAACGAGGATGGAACGCTTCGTCGCTCCGTCTTTTCCAACGTAATCGGCGAGGTATGATAAATCGTTCTTCATTCGTGTTCTTTCTTTCAACCTCATGATAAATATACAGGCTTTCATCACGATTGCCTTCCAAGCGGCTCGCGATACCGATAGCAGCGCAAAGTAAGAATGAGCCACACCATTTACACTGAGTACACTGACGCCCTAGATAACTCCAGGCTGTATTTGAACGATTATAACGTCCTCGAGAACAATGCAAAGCGCCAGGCGATGATTGCCCTCGTCAACCGCATCAACGCTTCGTCGAAGTTGATTGACGGGCTCGGGGCGGAGGTCTACGCTAACGTAAATGACTCTGCCCACACTCCAAGAGCAGGCTCATCGCGAATATTCCAGGCGGGCGTGATCGACGAAGTCCAACCGGCGCTCACCGAGCTCGCCTCCACCGGGTTGGAAGTAGCGATCACCTACGCCTACATCCCAGGAAACGCGCCGAATGACTGGGCGACGCTAACCAAGGCGTGTCTAGCCGTCCCGAGTTGTGTCTCGCTCACCATCGCTCCACCTGAGGTAAGCCATCTTCCTGCTGCATCACTTATCTTATGAGCTTATCCGAGTCCCTAGAATCGGTGGCGGCCTGTCTCGTTCACCTCGCTTTGGGATAATAATTGGAAACGAACGCCGGCGTACGACGCTGTCATCAACGTCCTCGACAATTCGACATGAAGGGGGTAAATCTCGAATCTCGTCTTATATTCCAGGTTCTGTTCAAGTGAAAACAATGGGGTAGGGGGAGGTTCTTGAGTACTATGATACAAACTATTTCGATACATGGTGGTCCGCAGGTCTAAAAGTCATCGAATAAGTTACGTCGGGGTGGTCGTCGATACGGGATAGCGAAAAGCGGTACGATATCACAAAACCAAGCGGAGTGGTGTGGGGGTAGGTGGGGATGGGGAGAATATGGGGGAATGTAAGACGATAACAACAAAGTCCGACGGAGGAATATAAAGAGAAATAGGATAAGGGTTGTAGTCTTCAGACGCAGTGACAGCGTTGACTTATATTTTGGTGGCAACGACGGGCGTCCTTAGCGATGTGGGTCTTTGAGGACGACTTCGCAACTCTGATCTCCCATGGAAGGCGATAACGAGAAAGCAAACGTGAACGGGTGGAATAGAGATGCATGGGGGTTGGGAGAAGCGGAGTGGTGATGAAAGCGATCTCAAGCGAGAAGTCCAACAGGGGTGGAGTAAAGAGGCAAGAGGCGCGTTACTTTCAGTTTCAGTCGCTGAGCTGCTCACTCGCGCCGTCAGCGCAAGCTTAGTAGAGCGTAACTGGGCCGGCGGATCACTGGCGCGGCACATGGGCAAGGTGGATGACCCACTCGTTATAGCCGCCAGCGGCTTGGAAGCCCTGTACGATGGTACGGCCGTTCAACGCATCAATGCGTCGCCCAGCGCCGCCGTGTGTCTTAAACTGAGACGAGTGATTTGATGTGGGCTGAGCGCCGTAAGCGACACGCGCTGATTGGGCGTCTTGAGGCCCGTCACACTGCTGAAGATAGTAGTGCACTTGTTCCAAGATGGCATAGACAGTTAGCGCTTGAGGGGTGTGAAGGCTCAGGGACCAGTTGGGGAATCCTTTGAAATAAATCTTCGTATAAGTTAATGGAGGATAAAAAGCAGCCTCATGAATCTGAGCGTGATAGTTGTATTGAGCGCCAGTAGGTGAAGGTGGGTACTTCAAGTCCATCCACATCTGGTTTGACTTGATGTCGACACACGGGCAAATCATCACATTGGACAACGGGCCGTCTGGTCCGGGATGTGGGCGAGGCCCTGACATAAACAAAGTTGAATTCCAGATCCGGAAGGAATCGAGATCACGACGACCACATACTGTTGATCAACGTCGCCGACGACGCTGGCGTTCCCGGCCCAACGTGGGGCGAAGGCGCGATACTACTGTGCACGGACGGGACATACGTGCTCTGCGATCCCCACGACGACTGTCCATTCGTGCTTGGGACTGGTGAACCGACCGAGAACGACACGGGCGTTCCGACCGACTTGGTGTGCACTGTGCCCCACGACGACGCGTAGGAAGGGTCGGCTGGAGAGGCGCGGGGGTAGGCGCCGTGGGGAGATGGGGCCGTTCCCCAGGAGCGCGTCGAGGATCGGTCATCCTTCGAGGAAGGTGCGTATTGATATCCGTTGTGGTTCATGGCGGGGATGATGGAAGGCGGCGGGCGTCTGTCAGTGTGCGCAGCGGGAGGGCGGGGATGGGGGTGGAAGATTGGCTTGACTCATC